ATAATTTTCTGGACGATGTACCTGTGCTTGCTTACACAAATCATTGAAGCGTACAAGCCTAACAAGAGCATTATTTTGTAGTAATGCTTGATATAGGTGAAAATCATTTCCATATCAACAAAAGTAGAATAAATACCATAGGAAGAAAAAACAATTAGAAAAAAGCCAACAAATCCGAAAACAGTGGTTACTGGCAATACCTTCATAACTTTGGAATACATGCTAGATTTAGGTATACATATACTCCCACATTGTAATATAGTACGCTTCCTGCTTACCAATAAGGAGTAAAGTGATGTGTTGCGCTTCAACAGACATGTGCAATATATACTTCGGGGAGTGGCAACCGCTATTACTGTATGTATAGCACACACATAAAATAAAAATATTTATAAATACATATATTTTATATATTATGTTGAAACAAATCCGAAATAGAAATGCGAATCTCATGTTATTAGGTGTAGGATATTGTGATGTGTTATTGTGCAGTAAAGCAATATTTACAAGAATTGTTGTCGGGCGACACGTGAGGTCAAAGAAAGGCTCTCCGAACGGGTATATCAGAGAAAACCGAATGAGTCAGCTGTTTCGCTTCCCATTGGTAACTCTGAGATAATGGAGAAGAGCATGACGTTAACTAGCCCAGGCAGTTCCCCGCCCAACATTACTTTGTTGCAGTCACGCCTAGAAGTATCCGTCTATTTCTTCCTACACACTAACCCGTCCGGGTCTTGTCGTCTATAAAGATGCCGTTTATCGAACGCTGTCATCAACGACGTAAAAGTTAGCCTAAAACTAAACTGTGCAAAAGTGGCCATCCAAACGAACAACTTCGAGACGCAAACAGCTTTATCAAACAAGGGTGGGCGGTCCAGAGGCGATGCTTGATACAAACCGGAAGCCAAAATATAACTAAAGAACGCGGTGGGCCTAAACGACACACACGCACAACATGAAAGGTAGTGAAGCTTCCTGCCTTCGTAGAGATCGCAACCATGCCAACAGTAACGTGAAAAGCTTTTTAATGGTGGATTACCGCAATTGTCTTCTCGTTTACACTGCCGGGGTGAATCAATTCTCGCCTCTAAACTCTTCTTGGCCTCCGTCCGCTCTAACGCTGACACTGAAGAACAAGTGCCTCACATAACGAGTGTACTGCTCAAAATGGAATAGCGATATCGCTGCACGTACAGGTACATGCTTGACATAAGTCCTCAAAGTCAAGAATTCACACCTCATCAGGCTACTACGAATCCAGGATTCCTCTTTGATTCCCTCTGATTATTTATTTACTACTACGGTAGTACTGCAACGCATTACGTCGCATAGGACGTATCTAGGACCTATTGCGCCACATCTTGTTGCCCCCTGGCAAATGAAAACGTTCTGTTGCGCATATGATGTGATAAAGTCCATGTGGTGCAAAACGTTTAATTGTATGCCGGTTCGTTATGCCGGGACCTTTCCAGGCTTTCTCAGTCATTGTTACGATTGGGAAGTACTACTATATGGCTTTATATATATTTATTAGTTCTAGATAATTTACAGCAATCGCCCTCAAGCCTCAAACAGGAACCACAACGCTTCCTACTAATTTATTCCTTTGTTTCTAATCAAGGTAACAGCCTTCGTTCATTAATCTCTTAATCATTTGCAAACTGGGTAAATCAGTAGCGAGTACTTAAAAGAACCCACTTTTACTAGAAACGTATATTTAGGTATAACTCAGTTTAGTTTGTTTAAAGGCGAATGTTATTAGCCAACTGTTACTTGCTTCTAAAGTAGAAAAGAAACATTCAGTGGTTCTTCAAAGAACGCCAAAATCTAATTAAATATGCCTCTTATTTTAGACACGAAGCTAGAAACTACGAAGCGCTCATCAAACCTAATCCTGAATAAACCATTTATAACAATACATTTTAAGAGATGAAACCATGCAAATAAGGCCTGATTGTTTTCTATTAGCGCTAAAAAGTTTTCCTCTAGTCAATGTTTAACACAATTGCTTTAATTTACTTTAAGCACATGTTTACATGAGCATCTGTATGGAAAAAAAATTGGCATGTCAGCCTCTAAACATAAATCGAACTTTACTCGGTTTGTGAAACATGTAAAGTCAATCCAGTGAGTGAACGTGACATTTCATCGGAACTCTAACATGGTAAAATGGAAACTACAAGGAGGAAGATTGGTAAATTAGTTCAGAGTTACTGGCCACCAGCATAACCGAAATAACCGAGAACAAGTGTTGCAGAAACCTTCTTTGTTCTTTACTGACTCGTCTTCAACTGTCACTGCATCGCGATTGCAGTTGCAATCTTGAGTGGTAAGCCTCGTAGAGACAAACAGACTCGCAGACGAATTTTTACTGAACGCCCACATTATTTGCAGCTATCATCACTCAACACAGTCTATCGCCTTTTTTTGACCGTCCCTGGAACTTCGTACTGCGGTTCCATTTTGCGACTTACGCCACCGAGACAACAGACTATGTACCAGAATTCACAATAACTATATTGGTGTTACAAGTAGATTCAGAATTGCACTGGTCATAGAAAACGAGCGACCACAGCGTAGTTTTGCACCATCGTCGTCTGACTCCATAGTTTTATAGGAATTCCATGAAAATTATGAGAGTCATATAAACGCATAATATATTGAATCAAAAAGTTATACTAGCCGTCAACATCCGGAACAACTCAAAGATTCACATGAAGAACGCGAAACGCAGTGTATTTGCTTAAGACAACGATCGTTAAAATATAAATGTATATAAATATAAATATAAAAAAAAAAATATAAAAAAAATATAAATTTGGAATGAACAAAGAACGCAAGATTATAAGTATCTGATCTTTGCAGTCCTCTTAGGAATACACATTTAAAGGGATTTTTTTTAAAAACGCAATGAGAGGGAGAAACGGACAAACGGAACACCAAAGAATGGTGATTTTCAGTTGTTTTGACTACAAGAGGTATATAGAAAACAGGCTGAAAACTCAAGCACTTTTTTGTTTGACATATTTGCAGGAGATTAAAATATTTTAAAATATTATTAAAAAATATATTAGAATATTTTAAAATATTGTTAGGAGATTAAAATGGGTGATCATTTTTCTCTGAAAGATAAACACCCATATTAATAGAGGAAGCGGTCCCCCAGCATTTTATTGCCTTTTATGGCCTCCATGTTTATATCATGGCCAGTTGCATGAAGACGTTAACCCTGAATTAGATCATTGCTAGCGCAAAAACGTAGAAAGATGTTTGCGTAAGTAGATATTTAATCATATCGGACATCAGGTTGCCAAACAGACTGCGTAAACACGAGAAAGAGGCGATTTTCGTCTTAATAATTTTGAGCATCATTTCTGATGGCGTATTTTAGAGTTTGAAAAAACGGCACAGTAGTTGCTTTTTATGTCTCTACCGCTAACATACTTGTCAAGAGGATCAAATATTAAGAAACAATCGCCGTATGCTTTTTACTCAATTTGTCTCTTTTGAGCGCACGCAGCAGGCTTTCATCAATTGTAGCGAAACGGTAAATTGCACTGGATAGAAATGGGCAACGACAAGCTTAGTTTATATTGGAGAAAAGAATATATATGAATTATGTTTGAATACTTTCTGTCTATATTTAAGCTATTAACAAGCTGTTTATGCGGAATTAACAAATGTATGATCTAATTACTCCTATGTAAATGGCACCGCATTAAACTGATAAGTTGCTGATTATGGACGTAGCCTTAGCAATTTCGCTAGCTTCGACTCCCCAGTCCAAGAGATTTAATTATGAACCTTTGACACCTTTTTGGCAGTGCCTCTTAGAAACTTCTCAAATCGAATTTAATTTATTATAATCCGCTTTTTTCTTTATCGTTTGGGATGATCTGAGTATCAGTCGTCTAAGCATCTAATTGAGTATCAACCACGCAGAGCAAAAAGTTCATATTTATTTTTGTATTAAACCAGAGACGGTCGTTTGTTTTACCAACGAGGCTTGGCACCAAATTTGTATATAGTTTGTATATAGTTGTATATAGTAGTGGCACCAAAATACATGTATATAGTTTTTCATTGCTTTTGAACATACGTAGTATTTTGCATGTAAAGATAAACCCCAATCATTAACCGAAATTTATCGAATCGTTTTCCAAATGCTGCTTAGAAGTACTTGCAGGAGATTCAACAATGAGACAATAATTTTCTAGCCAACTACACACCCAAACCTTTTTTAATTGAATAAATTGAAAATTTAAAGGATAAAAAAGCTATTTCTTATTTTTCAACATCACCTTCAAACCACATACACTTAATTAATTCAAGAACCTTGTCAAAACAACTGTGTGTAAACGCATTGGATAAAAAGTCAAATAGCCAAATACGAACCAAATGATCCTATTTCTATTGCAAAATGAGATAGCAAATTCCTCTGAATTCATAAACCTATTCCAATGGAGGAAGTTAAAAAAATTATACACATTATTTTAATATTTTATAATTTTCTTTTTTCAGTACCTACATTTTATTGGGTCAAACATACTCGAAAACTTTTTACAAACAAGGTACATCATAAACTAATTCAGACGGGGATAGGTTTACAGCTCTGACATGCATAATAATTGTGTGAACACAACAAGTACAAGTGATTAGTATCCTTATTGACAATCTACACTCCCATTGCTTCGTCGTACACATAATATTACCGAATATAGCGCAGAATAGCTATACAGTATTCGGAACGCCCCACATCACAAGAGGTCTAAATGTGGGTCATTCCGCATGCTGCGACGTATACGCTAAGCGATAGAGGCATAAGTTTCCAGTCGCTATATTGGCGATATTTAGATGTTTAAACATAGGATGTACCAACAAAAGCTAGACAATACATGGACCCCATTGAATATCGTATTTTAACAATAGATGATAATGATTGCACCTAAATAATAAAACAGTTATTGCATTTGTTATTACAAATTAGCCTCGAGACTTACCTTCCCTCCTAACTGGCACTCAATCAAAGTTTAATGCGATTTGTTTTTCCTTCTTCTCTTGTACTTATTATTGACGTCTCTGCGACTGTAATTGCCATTAGAAGATAATACCTTTAACGTGTGTCTTAAATGCTCTATCTTTCGCATATTTTACTCTCCTGATGATATAATGACGACTGTGAACTCGTCGATCGTACTTGTTCTTTTTTTTGTCTCTTTAATTCGTCCGCCACTCACAAGTCCACCACCTATACTCGCACCTCCTCGATACGCATACAAATGCAAAACTAAATCCCAGGCGTGCTTATTTATAGGCCGAGCCGATCGGCCAGGCAGAAAGATCCTTGCATGGTCTTCACGGTTGACTTCGACTGCCTTGTTGTTTGTAGCTGTTTCCCGGAAGAAAAAAATTCACCGATTCTTACAGGAGAGCGCTGCGAAATAAAACTTATTGTTCAACACTCACACTCTCTAAAGAGCAGATTACGTGCTATTACTGATGTTACTTGTGCCTGTGATTATTATTGTTGTTGTTCGGTGTGATCGTAAGTTGTCCTACAGAGTTGCGCGTGTCTAGATACTGCCACTCGTTCAGTTACTACTGTAGCATTGTCACTGTTTCGTACCACGGCCGCGGAACCACATTAGTAAGGCTTGCATAGTGTATGCGTATTCGCTTGTGTGTGTATATATAACTATTTCTGTGTGTATATGATCGACATCACTGTACTACTGTGTTACTACCGCTCTCGTTGCACTCACACATTTTCTCTGTCGCTGCGTGACAACCTACACACAGATACACAGACAAGCACTCCACGTTTACCAAACCCTCGTTGGCTGGCTCCTTAACAGAAATAGTCCAACCAGCCCCAGGAAGGGCAACCCCAACAGCGACAACAGCAGTAATACCAAGCGTTAAACTTAGATGAATATACAGATTGCATACGCGTCGTAACCTCAATGTACTCAATGCACAATGATAACCACTATTGCAAGAACAGCACACAAACGGCAATAGAAATTTACCGTAGTACTAGCACCAAAGTACAACACTACACACTAACCGGCATAATAATAATAATAATAATAATAATAAAAATAGTAGCATATCTTTTTACCGCAACTAACTTCTCACCATCAACCAATGACTACAACACTGTCACTTGGATCACCATAATAAGTCAATGACTATTCGAAGCTTCAGCTGAGAAAAACAGTCTGCTTGGAGTGCTACTTCTGCCAGAAGATAGAAACATGTCGGTTCGGTCCAAGTGGGGTTGAACAACGTTGTTCAGTAACACAGCCTGTCAGTCAAAAAGCTATCCATCCCTTCGTCATCAGTTTTGTCCGTCTCTCTATCAGTCAGGGTCGTTTATCCACTTACTCATTCACTCACGCACGAACTTCTTCGTCTTCTTCGTCGTTGTGCTCCGTCGTCGGTGCCGTTGCCTGGGCGACTCTGTGCGCGATAGATTCCGTGACGTCACGACCACTTCAACCAATCCAGAATATCCATTGTCTCCCAGGAAGCCACTTGCTAGTTTGGCAGGAGAAAACAGATAGAGAAACTTTCAAGATGACCTGACCAAAATTATAGCAGCTGCATTGAATATGATAACTGTTCATTTTGTAGCTGCTGTTCCAACCACCTGTAGGACTAACCTTGTATCTTGCGTGCGGGCGCGCGCTTTTTCAAATATCCATCAAGCATTAACACTCGGGCCGCTAAAACGGCGGCATACACGACAGCTGGTGTTTAGGAAAGCAGCTATCACATTTGAATATATTAGTGGTCACAATTAATTAAACGAAAGAGTGATTAATTTGATTGATTTTGCATGAAAAGTTTTAGAGCTCTTGGCTAGATTTCGGGTATTTACCAAAAACACGGAGTCTTTAGAAAAGGGTCAAATTTCCTATTTGCACTACACCATAAGTTTTACGATTAGGCCGGACTACAAGAAACGATCATTGTTTCCGGTTGACATTTCGGCTGAAGGCAAACTCGGTGAACTAGATATTCATCATGACTGTTTGCAGGGGCGTTTAATGTTTAGCATTGTATTGTGATGTTTCCAGTGGGATTTTGTGTTTCGATAAGAGACTGCGATACGGCATGGGATTGAAACGAACGATAAAAACCTGTTTTTCTTCAACAAAAGACGACACGAAATGTGTACTGGTGATACCGATAATTGTGGACTCGTTTTGACTTAAGGCACGCGTTGACCTTAGCAGGTGTTTTTCAACTTTAATACCCTTCTACGAGTCAGAGGCAAGAGCACTGTTCGGATCGATGCCAGGACTTCAGTTATTGTCATTAGCGCCATACGTAGCGATTGGAGCGAGCTTTAGCTCATTCCAATCCCACAGCCGGCATCAGGGTTTTCTCCATAAGCCGCGCAACACCTGCTGCTGTTACTTCCATTCGACGACCTGTTGGCAAGGTGTCAGGAACTCTAATTGCCATGGAGCTATTGGGGTGTTTAGTGCCACTATATGTAATGCACCGACTCGTGCCGTTTGCGTGCGGGGCGTGTGTGGGCTTAGCATGCTACGTACTGGCACGTCGTCTAGCTGTACGGCCCCCCCGTGCCCGGCTAACGTGGGCCGTCACCCGCCTTCTGCGAGCTGCACGATTTCGCGGTACCAATGAATCGTTTTCGCGAGCCGAGCTTTGTCCCGTCGCAAGTGCGTACCATAATGCCGAGCCGCATATGCCGCTTCTTACGCCTGAGCTTCATTCAGAGGTGAACTTATAATATACATATATATACATATACTCTTTTATATAATAGTTCACTAATGTAACTACATTTTTATTTACCACTAATAAAAACTATGTTTTACAATTAGCAGGACTGGAGAGGAGGCGTTTATTAGCTATTCAATTTGTGCCACATTTACAACGCTTTCCAGATTGAAATCTAGTTGATACATAGTTCCGATATAATGCTGTTCACTATTACTAGATTCACTGTAAAAATGTTTCGAATACCTAAATGAAGCCCGCCGCTTACAAACTATGTATTTACACTGTTTTATTAAAAAAAATTCAGATGAAAGCTACTCAAACGAAATTCTGTAAAGAAATCATTAGGGTTATGTAAACAAGACTTCTTTATGCAGATATTTATTCTGTACGTTATATTTTATATAATTACCCTTTTAACATGCATTATTTTATGAACTCGAATTTTGTATTGGGAAAGTGACTCTTCGAAATTGAACCTATTGATTTGGAATATTTCGAACAAACAACTCTCAATTATGAGTTCAAATTTCACATGAAGTCGCTTCAGCGTGCGCAATTAAGGATGCTTCGTATCTTTTGTAGGCTTACGCATTTCCGTAGCTAAAACGAACTGTTCGTAATACTAATAGCAAATTAAATATTAATCTAGCTTGTTGCGAACCTGACGCCAGCTAATATTAGGCTATCATTTCATAAGGCAATGGAGCACTGAACATCACGCCATGCTCAATATAGAAATTTGACGCGTAGTCCACAAAACGGTTAAAAAATGGCATAAAAGATGCGGGCGATTGAAAGTATTCTCCGTTCGCTATTATATTTGCCGGTATAAACATGTTATTGCAAAAAGCGATGCGCCGTGGAAATAGAACGGTATTTAATACTGTTTATTAAACATTGAAAACTATCCACCTATTGTTCATGGCAGATATTTTTCGGCACGTGGTAAGTAGTTAAAATTTGAATGGAACATAATAAACTGGCTTGTACCATTTCTGAGGATAGCTCTACATTTTCTCAACAGTCATTTACTGTGCTTTTTTCAAACGGGTGATCTAGGTGGCTGGCGTTGTGGACAGCATTCTTCAGGGTTTTATTCTGCCCTGGTATTCGCCTTTATCTGAATCTGAAGAGTTTCCCCGACACATCGAAGGAATTCTCGAGGACACATTTCTTGAGCTATCCCACAAACTAGCCCTCATTCACCCCTCACGTGCTTTGCAAGTAAGTGAGTCCTAGTTTTATATTTTGACCTACAATCTTAAATGATATCTCAAAGATAGCGCCAAACAATTAATTCCAGTCGACGCTATGTGGCATGTATAGGAAAGGTAAAGCAAATACCATATTTTTTTGATGAATGGTTGCATACGATTAATGTTCTTACGTGTATCGATGCAATTTTCAAATGATAGCTTTCTGTTTCAGGTGTCCCTCGAAATATTGTGTTGTCACATTCAACAGCTGCCCCGCTGTCAGCAATCTTCCGAGTCGCTTGGGGCAGATCACCCAGCTGCTGTGGATCGCAGAAGCGAATGGCTTTACCTACAAAGCTTAGCCACTCTTGCTCTCAGGCTTGTGGAACCCGGTGACATTCTCACCGCTAAGGCGGTTCATTTACTTGTAAAGTGTTTCACATCTATGCAAAATGCTTAAGAATTTCTTGTCTGCTTTTTGATATTGTATTCATTGCATATTTTATACACATAAAAAACATCTGTTGTCATCTTAAAAAAAACTAATTTCACTGGTTATACGAATTTCTATGCATTAGCCAAATTACTCGACATAATTACAATCCAATATAATTACAAAAACGTTCAAATATTCGAAAAATAGAGGCATTATTTTAGGCATGAATCTCGATTGCGTTCAATGATCTTCTCAGAAATGCATTAACTGATTGATTTGTTTCACTATAATACATTCAAAGAAGTGTATGTCAAATCAATGCCCAAACGACCTTAACTAAACCATTATTTGCACAAAGGAGGTGTGCACATTATAGTTAGAGCATTTGATAATACTCACTCGGAAAAATAATTCCCATTAGTTAAATATCACGTCAGAAGCACGAAGGGGGTTGAACCTACACATGAGCTTCCCATGTCGTTTATAATAAAAATGAATCATTAATTTTCTAACAAACTCTCTTAACCATTATATGAAATTAATAAACTTAAACTTTGTACATTGGGAAGTCAAATCTATCTTTTATTCAGAGATTAATCAGATTTATTCTTCAGTCAGACCTTAATGGATAGGATACATGCTTATAGCAATGTTAACTGATAATAGGAATTCCGTTCATACAGCATGGTAAACTACTGTATGTTTACATAGGTTTCGCTCACACGACCCCGAGCGACGCTGACCAACTACTTCGCTTATAGATTAAACAGCCCTACCACATTCACGCAACACTGCAGGCTTACTGGGAGCAAACAACTTGCGGAAGAAGTCTCAAACACTAAGCGTCTTTTACCGTATTATCGATTGTCTGTTTCGTACCTTAGGTTCTTCACATTATCTGCCGAAATGTGTTACTTCCGCTGGTTGACTTGATCTCGAAGCCTGGCATAATTTACTATATTGTGGTGGCTGTGTGCACACCGAACTCAATTGGTGAAAAAGAAGAGACTGGCTTATCTTCACCGGATGCAACGTCTACCGACATTGCTGTTGAGGCGAAAGGTTTTGGAGGTGTACAAGAGCCATCAGTCAACGATGTTCTTAACGTGATCGTACCAACTAGTCTAAGCACCCGGCACTCCTTCTCGCTACCGGCTACAAGTTCGTTACGACACAGTCATCTCCGAAGTCACAATTCTGTCGACATCGAACGCGCGGTCGAAGCCGATAACTTTGCATATGGCTCAGCTGTACACAAGGTATGTCGTCAGAAAAGAATAACAAATCAACAATTTATTAATATTAAATGGCAAACATAATATTAAATGGTTCCAATGGCATCAATAATGTATTGATACTAGTAAAATGTGACATACATTGTTTGACCTTATGTAACATAGAAACGACTGTTACACAAGTAAAGCACCTTTATTTGCATTTGAAGCAGGCTATATCCAAATGAACAGAATATGTTAATAAGCTGAAGAATCACAAAGTAAATACTAAATTTACATAGAAGAGCCAGTTGGTATGCATTTTTTTATTAACGTTGCTTTAGATAAATTTGAGTGTTAATTTGAGTTAATTAAATTGAATTAATTAATGAGTGTAAATTTGAGCCTTCCATAATAATATTATAGCATTATTACATAGGGAATCCCTGACTTCTTCTAAAGCAAAATATTCAGTAGATGTAGTGAAATGGCGTACTGTTTCAGGTGCGCATTACTAAGACGGAGTCGCGTAGTGAGCTTAACAAGGGTGTATATACAGTATACTGTATCGAATATCAATCTCAGATGGGAGGCCCATTATACCGAACCAGACGTCGCTTCAATGAATTCATCAATTTGCAGACATCCCTTAGAAAGCTGGGCAGATTCGACCTGTCACTTAGAGGAGTTAAGGGCCCTTCAAGGTGGCTGGCGAACCCGTTCGTGAACGATAAAAAGAATGTTATAAATCGAAAAATATACCTCCAAAATTATCTTATACAGGTATACAAAATATTTAGGTAAAGAGCAAATAATGTCTTTGCAGTATACCAAACAAATATATTTTTTACGAGCCAAATATTTTATATGAAACTAGTGATACGAAACACGAAGCAAGAAAAAAGAGATAGTAGTAATGTTAATGCGTTTGCCCAATAATATGAGCTGGACCTAATTAGGAGGCATCCGTTTCGACTTATTTTTAATTTGCGAGTAATGTTGGTGCGTATTGTTTATTATTTATCCGGTGCGTTTAGTTGTCAGGTATACCTGAAGTGGTACGCACGGTTCAGTTCCAGCTATTTATGGGAGTATTAGGTGAGCCGGACAACTATTTTACTGGGGGCTTGGCAACGGCAACAAGCAGTTTGCTACGAATTGACCATATGCTCGCAGAAGGCGTTCGCGGAGCCCTAGATCTGATTAAAACGGCCCTTCCAGGGAATGTTTCCCTCAACAAAGAAATTAATGATGATCCTCATGTAGCGAATGCCATTTATCGTAGCAATATCTGGGAACAGCAGCCAGTACAGCACCAACCGCCACCTAGTAGCTTTGTGGAATTTAAATACGACCGTGATACTAGCAGTCGTCGGTTAAGACAAGCCGTGCTGAACTATATAGACAGGTAGGATATCATGAATCAGTATGAAATAAAAGTAAAAATGTAACCCACACTTGAAACAGATTTTGTCACTTTGCCGTACCGTGATGTTTTTATTTTTTATTTTTCATATTTGGCTCTAGAAGGAGGTTGTCTCCCCCGGTCCATAATTGTGCTTCAACCTAAGGTAGTTATTTGGGCTACCAGTTGCCAAAGTAGACGACCACTCATGGTCTTCATTGTCTGCAATTTTGTGAACGATTTTTTGTTTTGAAACGTTTTGACCTAAAAAATGAAATATAATAATCCTATAAATGTAAAAAGGTATGAATATAAATGTATGTTCAAGGCTATCTGTAATTATAAATAAGAGGTATAGTTGCATAAGGTGTAGCTTTGAACTTGACCACTATTTATATTGTTTACTACAGCTTCGATTTGGCGTCCTCTCCGGAATTTTCGCCAGTTCACTGCGGGGGAGTCAGTCCAATGACACCAATTTTTCCGCAGGCGGCAACTAGATCTGAATTTGATGAGGGATGTCAGTTGACGGATACTTGCCATAATGCTACCACTGCAGTCGATGGCCTCCAGTCACTCTTACCAGGAGGACTTCAGCAATTATCAGATCAGTTACAGCTTCGCTTGACGTTCAGCCAGGGTCGCCAAGGACCATCGTCTGTAAGCGGTGCTGAATCACTTGGTAGACCTAGAACAACTTCACCTGCGTCTCCGCGTTGCAATCCATTGATCGGGGCATTGCTTGATCTCATCACGGTCATATTAGAAGGTTAATTTTGTTCATAAGTTTTGGAAAATTCTTGTGAGATTCGAAACAGTGGTTGCACTTATAATGCGCACTGATACAAAGCAGAATTTTTTTCGGAATAGAATTGATCCTATAAAATAAATGTTTCTTAGTTTATTACGATTATTGACACGATTATTCTTGAAATAAACAGTAACATTAATTCAAAGATTGCATCCTTTGTGAACGAATTAATTGCCACACGCGAATATTATGATTAACATTAATAAATATATGTTTATATATATATTGGGGTTATCGAAATATATTGATAATTTCGTAACTAAACAAGTTTTAAAGTTACATATCTAAGGTAGTATCGGTCGTCGTTGATGTTTGTGAAGTGATATTCGCTAGTACTAGATGTACTAAAATTATTGGAATGCTTCATATATTTTTTGAGCCTTGAAGATACTTGGAAATTTCTTTAAAAAGTCACTGTTTCTACTATTACTACGACAAAGACATACATGCTGCCCAGGCTCATAGAAAATGTGTGCTGTTTATGACCAAGGTGCGTTGTCGGAAGAAACAGTCCAGAGGTGATTCTATCACTTTCGTTCTGGAAATTTCGATGTGAGTAATGTCCGTCATAGCAGTCGACAAATTGCGAAAGTTGGTGACGTTATTGCGAAAAGTCGAGCAGAAACGATTTGTGAGTAGCTATGATATCGCCAAGGAACTCAACATCCACTACCAAACAGAATTAAACCATTTGAAGAAAGCTGACTACAAAAAAGAGTTCGATGTTAAGTGTCGCACGAATTAATGTAAAAGGTTTCATTCAAACGTGCTTTCATCAGCGAAACCGAACAAAAACACAACAAAATCGAGTTATTTTTAAAGCGCTTGATCACGTGTGATGGAAAGTGGATTAAATACGACAATAATATGCAAAAAAAAAGTGCTCCAATCTGTAGCGGAGCCTTGACTAAAATGGTGCTATGTGTTCGGTGAGGTTGGAAAAGAATCATGCATTATGAATTGCTGCCGCCTAATAAAACTATTAACTCGGACCTCTACTGTCAATAACTAATAAGATTACAACAAGCGATTAAAAAAATCGACCAGAAATAGTGGACAGGAAAGGCATTGTCTTCCACCGTGGCAACGCTAGACCGCATACATTTTTAGCCTCCCAGCAAAAATGAAGAAATTCTAGATGGGAAATTTTAGTGTATCCGCCAGATAGCCCGAATCTTAAATCAAGAGGCTATTTCGGTCTCTGTGGAGCTTTCTTAATCACGTTAATTCGTTTTCAGTGGAGGGATGCAAAAATTACTTGTCAGAATTTTTTGCGTAGAGGTCACGTAAGTTTTACAGTGATGGGTCTACAACAGGTAAAAGGGTAAAGGTAATCGATCAAAATGGCGCATGTTTAATTTAGGTCGCAGTTCAGTAAAATTAAAATAATTTTATAATATAATCATAAAAATAAAAATATAATAAAATAAAATAATAAAATTTAAAAAGGTAGGATAAATCTTTACTTCAGTTTGGGCTTTTAAAAGGGTTAATATTTTTCCACAGTGTGTATAGGTGGCCAAATTCAAAGTCACAATAAGACCACTATACCGCCCAACTTACCTTGTATATGGCTCTTTGCATACAGGAAGCGGACATGGTGCATCGCGGGTACCTGTTCTTTTATCCCGTTTGCAAGGTTTGATAGGGTCTCTAGCGGAGGAGTGGCTGTCCGATAAACTTGAAGAAACATTTGCGCCCCATAATTGTGCCACAATGCTGCATAAGCTACACCTTGTCATCAGTGGTTTAGCTCAAGGTGCTAGTACTTTTTATTACTTCAATATATTTTTCAGCTTATTTAATTTAGCATTTCATACATTAGGCATACACTTCAATCTAAGTTCTATAACGTTTTATATATATAATGCACTTGTATGTAATAATTTTTGAACTTTTAAACAAACATTTTTCAATCCGATGGCTACCAATGCGGATAACTTAAACTGTCCATTGAAATCTAGTTGTTGCATCACATTCCAAAATAATGAGTCTCTCTTACCTGTACATGGTCTCTTATTTAGCAGGCGGTGATATATCACCTGTCGAACGTTCTCAAGATGAGGCTCGTCAGGCATTGCGCTCACTTATGCCCCCCTGGGCGTTGGCATATCTTCCCGTAATAGACCAACTGATTGATGGTGTGCTGGAAGCTCTCAGTCAAGAAAGATTCAACCGAGCACTCGTCTACAAATTGGCCGATGCTCTTCTTGATTTATTGGCCTCTGTAGATAGTATCGAAGAATGGACAGCTGGTCACAGATAATATATTCGTATTAGTATATTATCCTTTCTAGTACTTAACTTATTACAAGTACGAAATTTTTCATTACGAAAAAGGGGATCAAACAGTCTTGAATGAGTTAACTGAAAAATAGACGTAGAACTGTATTTCAGTATTCAAGATGTGTTGGACGAACTAGTTTCGCGTAAATGTAAATCGCAAAGAATGCAAGTGTAGAAAATAGTTGATTGATAATAAGTAGCCATCTCTAACCAATCTCGTGCAATCAGAAATTAACAAAAACAAGTGCTTGATAGGCGTCAATCTATCACCGCGGTTGTTCCGAGAATGGATATTATGTTTGGTAGTTTAAAAGATATTTTTGCGATACCATTAGTGATAAACCAGTACGATTGTGCGGTAGCTAAAACGGTACTTTATTGGTCAGAGCTAATAATATTCAAATGTACTGGTGCGTGATGTGTTACTAAGAATTGGAAAATGAAATCATATACATAAATGATAGTATGCTTTATTGCGATAACGTGTCTGGCTGCCTTCTGAATTATTTGAAAATACCTCTACTAGTTATAAAAAAATTATGTATATATTGAAACAGAGGATAGTTGGATAGGTGATGTATCTACAGGGTGCAGCACCTAAGTCAGAACCTTGTTTTACACTTTGTTTCTAAGATCATATCTAAATTAAGACAACAAAAATTATTAGATTTGTCAGAACTATCTCTGAGAGTCAGGTTTATTTAGTATAACCATTATTGACCACGATTACAGCTTCACTTCGCATCTTCAACCATTCATTATTTTGAAAATATTCCTCCCTTAATCTTCAAATAACTTAGTCCTACTACCCGTGTGTCAAGCGATACTAATAGGCATGAACTCAATATTTTTTTGTAACACATTTAGGAGACACTTAATAAAGTGTCTCCTAAATGTGTTACAAAAAAATTTCAGGGGAATTAAATTTTGGGTCAATAGCAGGCCAAAAGCCCCAAAAATGCAAAGGCTTGAAAAAAATCAGGAATCTTAAAAAGCGCAAAAAGAACGCAGAAGATCTGAAGAATACTCACCGTTGGAGTTTATCTTGGACTGAGCAACTCATATTTTCCTTATTAAAGCGACCGTTAATATTTGCATTAAAAATATAGGTGCATCAAAAATGGCCCTCAAGCCATTTAAATGAATTTTAAATCTAAAGCCTATGTTCTAATTTTCCTCGTGGAAATCGTCTTCGGATTTTTTAGCAGTTGGATTAAACTGGCAATAACGTAAATCATTGATTTCGGAAAAAAATGAAACTTTAGATACATACTGTCAGAGGTTTACGCGGGGAAAAAACATTGAATAATAGTTTATTTGCGCTCAAACTGTAAGAACGACGCATTGTTTTCTATAACGAGGAGTTAGTTGTTTCATTTAGAAAGAACAGAGTTTCCTCTAGTAATATAACCGAGTGTATGGACAGACACTCGTTATAACAAACAGCCCACCAAAGTTTGTTCCACTTTAGGTACCGTATCCTGTACGAAGTTAAGTTGTCAGTATATATGTCTGTGTAAGACGATCTATTTGTAAAATATACGTTAATCACCCTAAGGCAGTATGTATACGCGTGCTTGTGTGTACAATTATTTCAGTCAGAGCTTAAAATGTGTTCGTGATTCTCGTTGCATTTCTTAGCATATCGGTAATTGAGCTCTTCATCTTCGATATGGGATAAGTTGAGATTGTAGTATTTTCAGCTCGATAGCGCAACAAGAGTACACTTATAATTAGTTCTTAGGTCATAGAGCAGTGCTTGTCTAACGAAAAGCGCACATAGGAGCATATTACCAAATTTTGTAAATGGAAGGTAGACCTTCCTTTATGTTATGGAGCACAACCGTGTGTTAAAAGAACCACGAAAAAGATATGCCCAAGTCAATACAGTACACTGTATTATTTAATTTATATTAATAATCTAGAAAAAAATAATAAAGGTGTATCTAAAATGGATGTTATACCGAATATTGATAAACTAGCTACACTTTGGTCCTACCAAAGCATGATTGCTATCCGTGTTCTATTTCGCTGAAATGAGTTGCCAAGTTCTTCGTCCAAGATTGTAGCGCGAAGGTGTGATGTTTCCAGAGATCAGTTAAATATGATGAAATATTTCCGTGAGTGGCTGATACGGTGTTAATTTTTTTTAATAAGTAATACATAAGGAACAGTAACAATTATATGATGCTAGTGAATTTCAATATTAAGAATGATATTAAGTATCTACTTAGACTATCAATTCATGCAATATGCCTATTGTTTATGATAGGAGCTCCCTCACATTCAAAGAAGATACGCATGATAGAGTAAAAGTTGTCATTTTTTTTTTTGTACATTAAAATTCTTCATTGCTATCTTGTTCTAATTTGGATTCTAATAGGAGCTGCTTCCTCGCCCTACGTTACCCATACTCTTGATCGATTTATATTTACTGTTACGTTCGCTGATATAACAAAACGTTACGCGCTTTTTTAATAAATAATGCCACTCTGGCCTACGACATATACATAATGTAGCAAGATTTACGACAGAATCTTTTCATATGGCATGCTAAAAATAGTTAATTGCATTATGTTTAAGACGAACAGAATATAATAATCAAAATACTTGTGTCCTAGCTATTCCGCTAGGTTCAAATGAATATATAATAACTACCATGTCTTGGTAATCATGGCGTGCTTGAAGGCACTTTTTCATTGAAAGTCTTTGAACTCATCAGTTATTTTTAGAAGTGGTGAAAGCGCATAGCTGAGGAATTACTTTGAGTTGAAAAAAGACTATAGCTTATTATTCTTCCTGGAGTATGTAAGATTAGTCTCAGTATTCGTGATGATTTTACATGTTACTAGTTTAAGCGTCGTACTTGATGAGGCTATTGTGCAAATTCTAGCGTGATCTAGTCTAGTAAGATATGAAGTGTACACGAGAATCAAAACTACCATTATATGTGCAGAAATGATAAAAATTCTAAGGTGCTTGCGGGCTATACGTGCAAGTGCGATAAAAAAGAGCGAAAAATATATAATGGGGGGTAATAATCTTGATAATAGTTATCAGATTCAACTCGGTGTAACACATTAAATAGTTTAGAAAAATTAAGCCTAAGTTGGTATCGAAAGTGTCGCTACTTCTTTCAAGTCACTTTTCTGGAGTGCTATGTGGACACATTAAAATTCGATTGCAGCGGTCATACGCACGGAAATAAATTGGAGGAAAATAAAATTCGATCGATATTGACAGTCGTGTATTGAATAAGTATGAATGATATGGCAGCTAAACCTCTAATCTTAGCGCAAACACATTTCTTGCATTGAGCTATGCTATAGATGTTTCAACGTAAGACGAGAATACGGAACTGATAAATCAATAATTCTTATTTGTTGTATTTTCGTGATCTAATGAAAACAACTCAAAATTTCCTTGACTATTAAAATACAATGGTAATATTTTCTATATTACTTATTATTATATGAATATTATTGGATACACAAATAGTTTTTTGGTGAAGACCATCGTAGGATAGTCAAAATGGCCATGCTACTTTTTTTTGTGTCACTATTGCCTATATTGTCGTTACGCAAAATAACGTTACATTATTCTAAATGTATCGATAATTGATTCTCATTTTTGGTCCTGTATAATACATTGCATAAAAGGATTATAATTAGTATAGACGTGCCTTTGAGTGTAAAACACTTCGTGACCCTAACTGGGTCATTTTTAGCGAATTTTCATTTTACAGATGGCAAAAAAATACTTGACTTTATTTCTTCTGTCAATTATTTTTTTGCCATCTGTAAAATGAAAATTCGCTAAAAATGACCCAGTTAGGGTCACGAAGTGTTTTACACTCAAAGGCACGTCTATACTAATTATAATCCTTTTATGCAATGTATTATACAGGACCAAAAATGAGAATCAATTATCGATACATTTAGAATAATGTAACGTTATTTTGCGTAACGACAATATAGGCAATAGTGACACAAAAAAAAGTAGCATGGCCATTTTGACTATCCTACGATGGTCTTCACCAAAAAACTATTTGTGTATCCAATAATATTCATATAATAATAAGTAATATAGAAAATATTACCATTGTATTTTAATAGTCAAGGAAATTTTGAGTTGTTTTCTCTCACTTATCACATAAGAAAAACCAACAGCAAAAGGGGCCTTAAAAAGATCTGACGTTGATAACTACTCCGGCCCTCAGAAGAGTGGGAAAAAAACTATGTCGTCACCTGTTCTTCGCTATTGGTATAGGGTTCCTAACCCACGGTTGATATACAATTATATGGGTTGCATTAATCTTGGTTTTCGGTAATAGAACCATAGCCTGGTTGCACAGCTGTCTTGCTGTCAAACGATTCAGGGTAAGGATAAGACAGAGTTTAAAGAATGGTTACTCATCAGGTTACCGTAAGAATAAGCCTTCTTCACTTTTGAATATAGTTTTTTATTATTATTTTCTATTTTCATACAGTTGTCGACCTTCAAATATTTGGAGTGCTTCACAACTTCGGGTTCTGAAATTTATTAAGGCACTACAACCCAAGCCTCAAGGTATGTGTTATGTCTTAGCCATGCAACGCTCATGAGTGTTTGTCCGACTTACTGTTATCCTTATAAGAAAGATTTCCGTAGAAATGCCTTGCGTGAATTCTTATATTTCAGTACATAATTAAACAAAAACTGAAAGTATGGTACCGGCCGCGCGACCGTGATAGCCATCTCTAGAACCAGTCTATACTTGAATATGTATTTTTGATTTCAAAAATGCGCTTTTTACGGGAAGTGATCACCATTTTTGTAGCGGTAATTTTAAACTACATGTTGCTTGTAATACTGATAACAAAAAGGGACCTCTGCGATTAATAATCGACGCGTTTGGGAGGTACTACGAGTGCGACAACATGTTCGTCTTTATACTAAGGTCTGCAACTGCCTTTCCCTTTAATCATACTTGTGACTATTCCACATATAGCCAATTTGCGGCTTAGGATATAGTAGAACGCATATACAGCCTCGTTGTCGAATAAACTAATTTCTATGTGATTTTCCAACTTGTTGGTCCAATATACATTAATTACTCACGAATATACTATCTCCATCAGAAAAAAAGTACATTGAAGCATTTACAGAGAGTTCAGGAAAGATGTGTGTCGGATCAATGCAAGATTCCTAGTTCTCTGCATGTGCTCCTCTTTCCATGTAAGCCTCCAAAGCCCTGCTAGATATCAACTGAGCCATCTTCATTCTGCGTATCCCGAAATACCGAAAACACTTTTTGCAAAGGGTTACGGGCGAACGCTTACCTTTCGAGAAGTGCTGAGTGATCGAGAAGACTTGGTGAAGGCACTTCAACACAGTTCACACAGTGTTGCGACTTGCGGCTCGTCGATTAAGCGCAATAACCCACAAACACGCCTCTGCTATTCCAAAGACATTTTATACGACGGGATGGCTGGAACCACATTAGCCAAGGCGATATCAGCAGAATCAACAACAAACACAGGCCAGATGTGCAGGTGTGCCATTGGACTAAAAGGTAACAATAGTAACAGGCGACACATAGTCTATAATCGTCGAGGTATCCATAACCAAGTGGCCGCACTTCGCAAAAAAAATTGTGACTATACAGTGTGAATGTTTTTGAGAAATGCAACGAGTGTACACATAATAGCGCTTACAGGTGCTATTCGAAGCGTAACAAAGTAATATATTTCGTTTTTAAGAGTGGAAAAGAGGCTAATCAGACAATCGACCCAGCAGGCAAATGATGTTTAGGGTATGCTCAAGGCTAACATCAGACTCGTCACCGAATTATTTATGAAAGGTTTAGACATTTGTGCGCTGCAGAATGAACCAATAGGTCTCATGACGCTCCCATTTTATCAAGTGATAGAGCTGGAAGGACAAGTATCAAATTTACAAGCATGTGGTGCCAATACTGGTGACTCACCGAAAAATGCGATACATCTCCGAAGGACCCTAATATGGCTCGACCCCTTTTTCACCGCGAAAAACAGCGCTAGTGATGGGCAACAGCATTGTGCAGCCCCTCGGCCCTGCGTTGAAAAACATTCTTCCTGAACAAAACATGAGCGACTACTCGTGCGGCACTGAAAGTGCATATCGACAGTGTCGTGTGCGAAGGAGAGAGGTATGTTAGCAATACCAATGTTTCATCACAAAGTTTACAGCGGGGCTGAATCTTGAAGAGACGCTACAAAGTACTCAATGGAACTGTGAGGAGTTGCAACTCTGGCGCTTCTCTTTTCTAGTATAGCCTAAACATCCTTGCTAACGAAGACTTGATTACTATCTCCTTCAACCTACCGCGTTTCTGTTTTGTGCACTGCCCTGTAATGAAGATGAATGGACTAAGCTGCCCTAGTGGAGGTATCCCCGTGTTCTATAATCGTAAAACAGACAACCTCATGCCATGTCAGATAGAGAATAACGTTATTGCCTTACGTTGCTGTTAAGTAATCCTCACAACAGCCTATGTTTGGCCGGCTGATTGAGGAACGTACTAATCGAGAACCTCCTCAGCGGACTGGATGTCCTATCTTTCCATTCTATCTCCTATCTCATCTCTGGCCCTTGCCAGCTATTTCAACGCTCGCCTCGATTAGCCGAACACAAGCCTCACTACGGCCATTTTAGACACGCTCGCGGATTTCTGCTGCTGCTTTGAGGATCCAGATGGCCTTCAGGTCTATAGTCAAATACAGCCCGAGTTCTTTCCTTTAGTCTCTATCTTTAAGACAGTCTGTCGAAGAATGTGTGCATCATAAAGGCAACAATACCTTAACTGGCTAAAGGCCCGTTTGATTGACGACACAGAACATGAACAGTATTCATTCAGCATTTACAAACCACTTCTCAGAATGTTTGCGTCAAAAAATACGATACCAAGTGCGGTGTTTTCTTTCTTCGCAGCGTTGACAGAGGGACCTCAATACAACACTATATCCATAAACAAAACTTCACACTACAAGCCCCAATACAAGGTTTTGGGGAGAAGCTGCCAGTCTTGAACGGGTCTGCAACGGGTATTTCAAATGCACCGCCGATGACACTATTTAGTAATGTTCACGTACTTCCGCATGGGTTTCGCACATAACGCTCCACAGAGATGGCATGCAGGATCGTAGTGCCCGACGTCTAGAGAGTACTGCCCAACCCACGCAGTTTACTATATGCGCTGTTTGTTTACTTCGACGAGGCGTTCAGAAAGAAGGTTATGCTCACGCTGGCACGTTGATCTTCTGACTGATTTTTTTCGCCCTGACTCGCTGCGATTTTCAAGGAAAATAGAATAACTATCGACAATGGGATGATCTCTCACTTTTTGTTTCTCACAGACAGTTGGCTTCACTCGAACGAACAGCCTAAGCTTATTGTTACTTTCCGTCTCGCTGAAGGGTCTACCTCATCCAATAAGAGGGCCGACGACCTAGTGATATTCGGGCCGAACAAGTTCTGAATGCAGCAAGCTCTCCGCCAGCTCCACGCAGCAGTCACAAATTTAAGATTGACCATAAACCTGGGCAGTCGGTTTACGGCAGTAGTAGATAGTACAGCAGAAGTTTCATTGCGCATGCAACCCAAAGATTCAGGAGACCAGTGTTGGCGCGTATCTCCTAGTCGACCCGCGACTGGTGTAAAAGGACCTACGCTGTCGCTTTGAATTCTCAGCAATGGAAACTTTCAAGATAAGCCTTGAAAACTGTGAGCAAAAATTTGCCGAGATCGATAGAACTTTTTCGCGTTAGGTGCGATGAAAAACGACGAATGGAGAAGGACAAACTGGCTAAGTTTGCATGAGTTTTATGGTATATATGTAGGCGCTCGAAGTGCGAGATAAATTGGAGTAGATATTGTGCCGCTCGTCGTTTCCTTGTACAATCTTTGGAACATCTGAAAAACTTCTCAAATTAGTTTTATAAAGTCAACAAGACCCTTATAACCCATATCAGGCGAAGTGTTTTAAAAAATAAGAAAGAATATATATTCTTTCTTATATTGACGTATGGTGTTCTTTACCCAAACTCATAACGCCTTTGGCGACTAACTACAATATTTGAAATTTTTTAAAAGGGATGTCGAACCTGAAGTGTTTCATAAGCCAGCTAATATACATCAGCTAGATTAATCATAACCCACAGGGTTGCCGCATCACAAATGTTATTAATACGCTAACATCTAACACACATCGTTTTTATTGACCTGATATTTTTGAATATCTTTAGTCCTATGACCAGACCTGAGCACTGAGTGTAATAATCTGTGAGTTCTTTGCTTTTTTGAAGTAAATAATGATGTAGCGATTAATTACCAATTATGTTAATGTACCCCCTTGGCTATGAACGTGTGCTTGTCTTAAGGTGTAATTTTATCTACTCTGACTGGGCGTAACGGCAAGGTAACCTGATATCAAGAGCTAAAAATACTTCGTTAGCTAGTGCCAGATGGATAAAATAACTGCACCAATACCAATTTTTATTAACATTAAGATTAAGCTTTGAAGGGCTGATCCAGGATTTTTAATACAGATCGCTCTAAATGTCACAATTTCTCTCAATACTTTTCCATGGCAACTATTTTTACAAACGTATTCCCTGCTGTTTCTAAACCATGCAGTCACTTTCTGGCACTTCCTTAACTTTCTGATTCAATTTTCCCGTAAATGTTGTATTCTGTGTTTAGATAACTGACACAATTCTCGCTTGGCATTGAACCAGGGTAATATATCGTGTTGCCTAGTTAAAAATGCTTTTTCTGGTAACAAAAGACTTTACAGGAGATAACGATACAAATTTCCTTTACCAGCTTCTCTGAATCGATTTTGAATAATATTTAAGGTCAAGCTAAATTTGTTCTCTCGTACATACATGCACAGTGTTCACCACAGTAGTCACAAAGAGTCTTTCTCTCCGAAATATAACCGTTCGTGCGCCTACAAGTAGTAGACAGTCTGATCAGAGTTATAATAGGATTTTTTTCTTTTTTTTTATTTTTTTTAATAGGATACTAAGACCTTCCATATTTACTACATAAAGACAGGAAGAAAATGTTTTGAAAATTAAGCTAAGTTGTTTAATTACACACTGCAGACAAACATAGAATAAGCAGGCCAGTAAGCAGTCAAGATGTAACAATAACCATTTCATTGCAGCATGATATTTATACTATAATTCCCTACTCTGCCTAAGCAGTCTTAATGTTTACCCACACCAATGCACGACTATACATTTTTTTATGGTGATACGTCAAGTTCATTTATTTTACAACTTATTATGTACAGCATGGAATCAGCTAACGCTAGATTGGTACATTGTACTTATAGTGTTTAGTATTCAATTTCACTTGTAGATTATTCCATATAATTTTTGTTTCTACGGACATGTAGGCTGGCCTATTTGAGTCTGTTAATAAGATTATCAAGATACTTGATCTTAGCAAGAATTTTTGAAGCCTCTACATTGTTTCCCTCAGCGAAGCTCTTTTGAAGGTCAGCCATAGCAGCCTCTTGTATATTAATAATATTCTCTAGAAGCGTCTTCTTCACCTATAAGATTACGTAGACAATCAGATAATGCAAATTCTCATCGAAAGCATACAATTGAGAAACATTTAGTTTTTTTAAACAACGGAAATATTTTCAATCTTACTTCTATTCTAGTCGACAGTCTACTAGCAGTATTGTCATATTATGCACACGTTTGTATTTCCACAATGAGTAGTTAATTTAATAAAGTCTAAATGATTATCTTATACTTTTGGTCCACTGTCAGCGCAAACTACCTTAAAATCACTTTAGATCCAAAGTACATGATTGACAGTTGCAGCAGTAACTAACAGCAATGACGTGAGATGAACTTGCTGATCTTATAAGGTGGGCTGATATGTCTCAAAAACTTGATGTACTCAGTAAAAGGAATCTACCTTATCGGTAACTGTATCTACTTGCTCATTCAGGTCCATCATCTCGATGAGGAATTTTTGGGGCAGTTTGACTTCGTCCAGCGTCACTCCATTTACCTAGGATATTTAGGAAACAAAAAGGCATTTCAAAGTAATACTGAATAAGAGCAAATCATTGTTTTAGGAAACTTTCATTGTATATTGAATTCCATTGATACTAATAGGAAATTAATTTGGTATGCGTATTAGGATATTAGGTATTGGTATGGGTATTAGGGTAATGTAATTTGGAATGAGAATTAGCATAAGATAGAAATTAAAATATTGTGGCTTAGTACAGAAAGGTAGCTATATAAGGTTTTCCAATATGCCATATATGAATTCGTTGTTAGAACGATAAATAAACGAAAAAATTTATTCAGACGGCTGTACTAAGACCTGATGTTCAAACGAGTTAGAGGTTCTATGAGTACCTTAAGTAGATACGTAGCTCTTTGGATGGGTTTTAAGAGCACTTGGTACGCTTCATTGACCATTGCAGATTGATCAGCCGAGTAAGACTTCTCTTCCTGAAACAGATGCTGTGGTCAACTGGTTGCCCATAGTTAACTCCTTCTTCAATGTGGCGGCTTTTCCAATGTGGTAATTTTTCGCACACCAACTTATGACTTACGACTAGATCATCTATTAAAAAATAGAGATTAAACGCCCTTCCTTCCGACTTGAGTCGCAAAATTTTTTTTCTGCGACTTTGGTGGGAAATCCTTTGTTAAAGCTCAAAATTCTCACGTTAGGTAACATAAGGATTGATAAAAGAAATTAACCATAAGGCAGAAGTCAAAAATTTCATTCATAGCTTATCAAAAAAATAAAAACATAGGGTAAAGGGGAATTTGCTCTTAACATTATGATGTAAAACACTAGCACAACAGCTTGTGTTTTATATATCATCATTGTTTTTATTTACAATATTACGGATACAGTTATTGATATCATTATTTCTTACTTCTTCACGAATTTTCTAGTGTACGGATGGTAGACAGCACCTTGTATAGACATGTTTAAAAATAACCCTCCCTATATGCCTATCAGTTCTCCGTAGTCACATGTATGTATTTATATTATGGTGCATTGAAATTGGAGCCTTCTTATGCTGGACCAAACTTCCTAATTAAAGCTTCGTTTTTTTATTCGAAATCAATAATCTATGTTATTGCCAGCTTTCTGACTCCTGAAGAAAATAAACAAAGACATTCATGTGAAAAACTAGAAGATCTTTATTAAGGTTTAGACCTAGAAAGCTTTTAAGGTTCCAATTGTTTCAGAGAAGGAAATATTAGGTTTATTGGGTCGACCAGATAAGTTCTAATAGTTAGTCACTACGTAGCTTTTCGCATCTTTTTCCACCTTTTGAACTTTAAGCTGTATTGAGCCCTTGAATTTTCAGGACTTTTATTTTTAAATTTAATTCAGTTTTGAATTTTCAGTATGTAGTTTATTTCAACCATACTTGTTCAACGAGTTTATATCTACTAATATCGCTTGGCGTACGGTTACTCTTAAAAAGATATTTGCAGGTATATTTTGAAAGGATATTTTGAAATACAATGATTAGTAATTTATAATAACAACTTCCGTATCGAAGCTTTTAATCAATTTTGTAAACTGTTGTTTTTTAGCTATGCTTGATTTATGTAAGCTGAGCAAAACGATTACTAAATGTGTAATAAAGCTCAGAACCTCAAACAAAGAACGGTAATATGAAAAGGCCTTGAGATAAACTTACCTCAGAACAGTTTGCAAATCTATCCGGATGAAGGATTCTTTGCAACTCTATAAATCTTGTTTGCAGATCAACGGTATTAAGAGAAAATTTTTCCTCCTGACCCAAAACCTTGAAGTAGTTTTTATCACGTACTGCTGGTTGCACCTTAATAAATATTTAAATAGTTAACGTTACCACATTTGAACCTTGGCGACCCTTCTATTAAATTTTCTTTTATATGTTCATTTGATGGAGAGTAAAAATATACAATATAAGCTTAAATATTAAAACTTTATGGCAAGCTTAAAACCGTTTAGTTTAGCATTCTGTATAAGTGCTCATATATTATTGTCCTGTTTAGTTGATTAATTAACCATTAATTTCGTACCTTCCCACACGACTGGCATAGCACGTCATGTACAGGTTTCTTGCATGCCCAACAGGATATATATTGATATCGCTGGAACCAATGTACCACAGATCCTTTCCAAAAATGCTGGAAGCCTGAAGCTCGTAACCACATTTGTACTACTGCTGTTTTACTCCCATAATTTTAGGATATGAAAAAATTTCAGAGCACAAATAATTGGAAGGTTTCACAAAAATTAATTGCATGTCCGTAAAGTTGATTCGAACTATCAGAAACAGTTTTTAAATTATGCCCTTTCTATTCTAAAGAATGGGACTGCATTTTTATATGAAAGGCGCCTTGCTCTTTTCCCTCATGTTGTAACTATAAGAGTTTTGCGACTTGATTTAGTAATTCTTATGACTTATATTTTAGCTGCTGAGCGACCGCCAGGTAACTAATTTATACTAGCAGTTGTGTAATACTTATAATAAGCGTCATCATTGTTTATCATAGTGAAACTAGTATCTCAAATATCTACAGAAATCAAGCAAGCGCAATAGCTACTGAAATTACATCGACCAAGAAAAATTATTCTTTGCATTTATTTTTGTGTCGGTAATGGCAACATTTTTATATGGCCCGTCTTCACCTGCATATGTGGCATCCTTACATATCGTAGTATAATGGTTCGTGTACAGTTATAAGGTAGACTCTGGTAGATACCATAGATATATATAATATAGTCATTATGTCTAATGAAGGACGAACCCCATTTTGCTAATTTGGTTAAAAAAGTTTTTAAATGGCCTGCTCTAATTGCCGAGGGAAGATCATATTTGCAGCAGGAAAAAGCGTTTGCGTGGAACGAATCTTATCTACAACTGGGTATGTATTTTTAAATATGTTCCTCTTGCGCGCATCAAAACGTAGCACAACTAAACACGAAGGGGTCAGCTGAGTCACCGACCACAGTTATTCACCTAGATATCTATCACAGAATATTAGACAAGAGGTCAAAGCCTTCATTTGCCCTCGACGATCTATCGGTAAATTATAAGTCTGCCTGATGCACTAACCTTGGGATAGCAATTTCTAGCAGCTTTAGAAATCCGTTCAAAGGCTTTGCAAACTGCACTGCATTTTCTCAAAACAAATAAAGATTTGCCCAAAATGTTCTGCGCGATCACGCTGCTAGCTATAGAAGCTTCATTCCGACAGCTGACAACAAAGTATTGGCTTGTTTAAGGGTGCAATCCGATTTCGGCAATTACTGCGTGCTCTATGGAAGCACTTTATGGAAAATTAAATGTGTCGATCTTGTGTACTACAAAAGTGCCGCCAGCGGTGAAATCCTGTCCGTGTAAGTAAAGTCATGATCGATATTTGAAGTGTAAACAAAAGTGCATAAATTTTAAGCTCAATACATCGGGTGTTCAATACCACATATGTTTATCATATGTTATAGGGAACATCTGCGTAATTCTGATATTTCAATTTCCGTATGCCAATATTTATAATATCTTTTCTTTTATATCACCACCACTTACCGTGAGAGTATGTCATTTGTACGGTTTGAACCAGCAATACTCGATACTGTAGGCAGTGAATCTACCTAAGCGTGTACAAATAGTGTCATATTCACTTTTCCTATTGAATGTGGCTTTCTTATCGTCAAAAGCTGCTTATAGTATAGAACAATATCATCCGTTAGGGAGACCCTCTCAAATGTACTAAACATGGAGCTACCATGTTTGACGACATATTTTTCTCCGTCTAGAAACAAAAATGACAAAGGTTCCAGAAGATTCTAATAAAGATACGATGTTATCCGGTTTTTTCCTACAGGAGTTCCCTCTCCAGGAGTTATTCCTGATAATGTTGGCCCTTGTTTCGGTCACCTCTACAGTAACCTCCGCGATGGTTTGGCAGCCAGTACCCCACAAGAACACCGCCGGCCAGTGACAGATTTCATCCTGACCGTTGTGAAAGCCTTCCACGAAACATATATTCACGGCTAATCTTCATAAATTAAGCTATTGCAATCTGGCTTTTATTTCGCTAACGTTTGCATTTAATCCCACCTTTTTTCTAATAACTAAAGTTTCGGGCGTGTTCTGCAAAACAGCCTTTGATAGAGCAATTCTGCGTTTGTGACACCGGTGCACCGTAATACGACACGATATATTGAAGATTCAACCAAACAAACGTTATTCTTACCATGGCTAGCCGTCCAAAAATTGTCGAGTGTGTTCCAAATTTCAGCGAGGGCCAACGCCCTGATGTGATTAAAGCGATTTCGGCGGCAATTAGCACCACGCAAGGATGCACCGTTCTCAACGTTGATCCTGGAGCTTCTACCAACCGAACTGTATACACATTTGTCGGATCACCAGATGCCGTTATTGAGGGTAGGTGGCCTAAAGCCCAGACCACGAAACGAAGTTACCAAATACCGCTTACATAAAGACATTAACATATTCTTACGTGTTGTGTCTGTGTTACAAAATTTAGATTAAGTGAATTAATCCAGCTACCGTATAATCATTCGAAATAATGGATCTCAATATTGTAAAAGATCGTACGTGAAGTACCTATACCTGATACCGAGCCCATAAGCCAGAGACTTTTCTCTTATTAAGACTATATTAGGTCGTTCATTATGAATATCGTTCAATATGAAATGCGAGCCACGATGATTTCGCATTTCAAGATTGCGCTACTTTATAACGGGAAGATACATCTGAACTCTTTGAAATCTGATATCGTTTACTGCGACGATATGAGTCAAGCCTTTAGCTAGTAAGGTACAGTGAGCCATAGAAGGTCAGAAAATTCAAATGGTTTACGAATGTGAGTTTATCTTGGAATTAAACAGTTCGTCATACAGATTTTGTATTCGGTTGAGGATCTACTACATTAGTTTAAAGAAATCCAAATAGGAATTCTTAAGTGGAAGATGTGTCTTGTAGAAAAGCCCTCGTGAAGTTTAAAAAACTGAGCTTCTCATATAAACGTAGACAGTCATATTAATGGGCAGATGCAACAACTTGGCAGCACATTACTCTAAATGCACAACTATGGAAGCTTATGGTGTTTCAGTGGTCTAATTGAGTGTTGTCCTTTGGTTTTACTAGAAGTTACTGTCAACAACTGGAAATGACAAATAAACACCACTATATTAAGCAGCCAAAATTAGTTTACAAAGATAAATATTTTACTGTATGACAGTACTTTATTTAACGGTGTGGAAGTTACAGTTAAAGGTTATCTGTCATTCGTAATACTGACGAAACGTTATCCCTAAAGATTACAATTTTTTTTAATCTGGGTAATAAAATTGTTCAGATCTCAATATATCGAATTTGCATTGAGAGACTCTATAGACTCTCGGACTATTCTACTCCAGATTTTTAGCTTAGTATCCAAATAGCATATCATTGATAATACCGTACGTATTCTGATCGAGAATATTATAGCTACGTTGATGAAGAAGCTTGGGAAATTAACACTCGCAATCTTGCGTTTCATACTGAACGATTTAATACATAGAAGTGTTAGAGTTACTAGACCTTAAATGGCTGAAACGTCATGAGTTTATTGCCCCTTAGATTTTTTAGCCGAGCCTATTAGAAAAAACACTACTGCTTTTCTTCAGAGCCACCTCCTCACTAAACGGTCTTCGGAGTGAAACGGGGTTTAACTCGGATAGTAGAGAGGTTGACATCATTCGCAGAAGTTTACCGAACGCAAAACATAGTGAAACGGGGCTGAGATGAAACAACGGCTCCAAGAATACAGAAATTCCTCTCTTCCGGGGCACGCATTTGACCAGCTTACTAGACCTACCATATTGATCATCCCTGTTAAGTATCTTTTGTTTTTAAAGTAAACGGGGCTACATAGCTTCTTTTTTAGGTGATACCTTGTATCACCTTGTTCTATATCCTCTTAAAAACCCTCAAATAAGATAAGAGGGATATTAAACTATAGGGGGACAATGCATGTAAGTTTGGGTTTTAATATATAATATAGAAATGTACAAACTGAGTATTAATTATTAATCACAATTATATCACTTTCGATAGTAAACCGTTTTTGGTGTTATTTCATAAATCAGAATCCCTTAATTAGAACCCCAACAACTGTGTGTCATTTCATCAGAAATCAATCAATGTTGTGCAGATGCTATTTGTGCGAATTTGATGGTAATTTATATATAACTAAGATAGCAGTATACATGGCTTGTTATTTATAATAACGATCTGCATATTATAGGCGCGTTAGCGGCTGCCAAAGCTGCGTTCTCTTTGATTGATATGTCACGCCATAGAGGAGAGCACGCCCGACTCGGAGCACTTGATGTTTGCCCTTTCATTCCTGTCCGAGGTGTAGAAATGGAAGAGTGCGTGTACTGCGCGCGGAAGTTTGGTGAAAAACTGGCAGCTGAGCTTAAGGTAATTCTCATATACCACATCTAAATATCTTGAAAGGCATTTGAGTAATATTAATAACCTTAGTTTTATTTATGAGTGATTTTTGAAACACATCTACCACATCAAGAGATATCGTATGAGTAGAAGTAACACAACTTTTCAGTTAATGATCCTCTTAGCATTCCGTGCCTGCTTGCTGCACTACGAGTCTCGTCGATGTTGGTACTTGGATCGTACAGTTGGGGAACCGATAGCTGTGTACTGCAGCTATGCTGAACGTAACGTAATTTAAAGATGCAAATGGCCCATCTCGCAACAGTAACTTTAACGCTGCAGAAGTTAATAGAATCTTACAGAAAGGTAGCTATCTAGAAAACATATGTTTTCTAGATAGCTACCTATATATAGCTATATATATATGTTTGGTCCTTTATATATATATATATATATATAAAGGATCAAACAACCCAGAATAGCTGAAACATTTAGTTGCTTTACGAAATATTTTACAAATCTTTTTTGTGATTATATTCTTCCTATATATATAGCCTTGGTGAACAGCTGTGCACCCACAAAAAGAAACCATGCATTTACAAATACTGTTTAGGCTTACTTGTTTTCGATTACAAATCGCGTACTTCTATGACTACAGAATGCGTAATTAATCTTCAAACATGAAACACTCTCAGCAAAGTACGCAACGTTGAGTTCAGTAATATATCCAGGAGCGCTGGAATAAGGGATTGTGGATTCGTCCCAATTTGCCATGTCATGGCCTTGCTTAAAATCCATGAAGAGACAATTTAAGGTATAAACACAGGCCAAGAAAAACTGTTATCGGGCTGAAGCCACAGATCTCATTTTACAGAAGTAGACAGGACAGCATACTTCCCATTTCGGCTAGTGCTGGATTAAAATATACTTTTATGGTACTTAAAACTATTGTGGGCCATAATTTCGCACGTTTTGTTAAGGTTGAGGGCGCCTTTATGGAAGCCTTAAAATGCGTTACTGTAGAGCCGCGGCGAGCAGTGATGGCTGATCTTATTTTAAGTATTCCAGAAATTAGAGTAAAGAAAGCAGGCGTGTGAGAAAAGTGCTTTCGAAGGTTGCACCGATTTGACGGTTAGGAAAACTGAATCGTGTAATTGTACCATTATGGTCTCAAGACAAACGTCGTTCATAAAATACATCACAGCACTCTTTTTGCAGAATAAGCAGCCAAACAGGCGGATCTCAAAAATGATAATAAATACCTATCCATTTCAGTTAACAGTAGAAATCCTGGAGTCTGTTAATGTGGGACTTACCGCGGATTTTGTAGGTGCAGTGGTGTAATATATATATATATATATATATATATATATATATATAATATTAAGTACATGAATGAAAACACAATTCTAGGTTCCGGTGTTTCTCTATGGCTATGCTGCACGCCAAGAACACCGGCGCATGGTGGCGCAAATACGTGCAGGGGAGTATGAGGTAAGTAAGTTACATCTAGAGGTAACAAAGTTTCCGACTACTCACCCATAATCTAACGTAAGTAGAGGTAATTAGTACTGAAGTAGGCTGCGCTAGCCATGTTATCGACTGACTTCATAGGAGAACTTTATAGGATATTCACTGTAGATTCATAGAGACATAGATGTGTTTATTTTAACATATATATTCTTCCAACTAGAACATACATGAATTTTTAACAAGTTCGAAAAACTGCTACATCAATTGTATTTTAATGAGTGGTCGGTTTCCTACGGTAGTTCTATAATAGAATTTTATACTTGGCTTCAAATAAAAGTTGTTTTATAAGGCTGAGAGTACCTACTTCACCGCTTTAGTAGTAGTGTCTAAGGGAACTTCAAAGCAAGAATTTGTGCGACACTCCTAAATCACACTAAAATCGGATAAGGAAAATTAAAAAAAAACATCCGGAGGATTTAAATTGCACGACTTAGCTGGAACGCTACGACTTCAGTAATATTTCCGCTCCAAAGCATCACTAACAAAAGGTTTTGGCGCTATAAATTATAAGAGAATTATATGCATAGATGTTATAGTCCAAATATAATAATGATTCTTCAAGCGCAGGTAGAATATCCTTACTCCATCTGTGGATTGTACGTGGAGATGTTATTAAGTTCGGTTATTCCGCTAAGAGTGACGATTTTAGCATTGTACAACCCTAAATAAAGGCTTTTTGAATTTTCATCAAGTTTTTCAGTTTTTGGGCAATTAAATCCTATCATCTTTCTACGCGTGATTCCGTCCGGATAATTAAGAAAAACGAAAAAAAGTGCTTATTCTTTTCCTATAAGCGTATTAATAAAACATCAACATATTATAGGGCCTCGCTGCAAAGCTGGAAAGGCCGGAGTGGCGACCTGATTTTGGTCCGGCAGAGTTTGTTCCACAGTGGGGAGCAACAATGGCAGGGGCGCGCAAATTTCTTATCGCGTATAATGTCAACCTAATCTCAACAAAAGAACAAGCACATAAATTAGCACTGAATATTCGGGAAGAGGGTCGCGGAATACAGCAGCCCGGACTATTTAAGCGTGTCCAGGCCGTAGGCTGGTGGCTTGCTGAAAGAAACCTCGCGCAAGTTTCCTGTAATGTTCTGGACAATGACGTCACCGCATTTCACCAGGTTAGTTGAATGAGGTGCATTATAAACTTTATTTATAAATGTCAAGTTTGCACCACAAGCGGTTTAATGACTCAGTGGTATAACCTAATGCCTTTTGTAGTTTGTTTTATATCATATTTCATATCACACTGTTGTTCAGTATTGCTTCAAACTGCTAGTTCCTAGCACGAAGCCTAGTCTATATACACTCTAAACTGAACAAATTAATGTTTTTAGTTTTGTAGCTTTTAACCATTCAGTAACCGTTACAGCAGTACGAAGCAGAAGTTTTGTTCTAAAAATGAACAAACTGTGTCTAGTTTTGTAGCTTGTAACCATGCAGTAACCGTTACTGAAGCACGAAGCAAAAGTTTTGTTCCAAAACTCGAACCCGAGTTTCGCTCACAAGGAGACGTTAGCATGGCTCATTGAGAAAGATTGTTAGCTAGATCTAAAGTCTCTTAGCCCATTTATGAAATCCAGTCGTAAAAGTGATTTAAAAAACATGTACGATGGTTATAGGTTTTCGAGGAGCTGACTCGCCAGGCGGCAGACATGCGGCTTCCTGTCACGGGTTCAGAGATTGTAGGTTTGGTACCACTAAAAGCTATGCTAGACGCTGCCGACTTTTACATCGAGAAGGAGAAGCTATTCATCCTTGAAGAAGACCAGAAGCTACATCTTGTGATCAATCGTTTAGGTCTCAGTTCGATCGCACCCTTCGACCCTCAGGAACGAATCATAGAGTATATGCTTAAGGTATGTAGAATCCAATCATGATCTTTCATAAAATGTTTATGTGTCATCGTTTCAGTTCGTAAATTCATGTTCTCAGGCTCAGATTAAAATAAAAACTTTAACAAAGGTTAAGTTAATACTCTAATTCGGCTTATTATAGATGGCAGGAAAGCGGGACTTTTCAAGTAGTAAATTTTGCGAGAGTGATGAATGTTTTCATCTTCTGAAACATGTTTGGTATGAACATTGTGCATATGGAAGTGCCATTTTTTTGTATTTAAAAGAAGACGGTTTTCGAAATAGTAAAAACAGTTTGATAGGTGATTTGGCGCGCTTTGTAATGTTGTATGGGCAACACTGTTACATGCTGACTCAGTGCCTCACGGTGGATAACAGTCAAAATTCAAAGATTTAATAAAATATTTTGAATTTGGTAGTTTTTGAATTTGATCTAAGAATTTGGAATGTGAAGAATTTGATTGCCAGGATACAGGGCGAAATTTTAGTTAACATGATTTCGAGAGTAGATAGGTAGAGGGAGAACACAAATAGTTAATTGTACTTTAAACGATCGAAAGCCGCCTTCATTTTATTGGATTTATTCAGTTACAACGACAGAAATCGTCCGCACAGTATAGCTCCCTCCACCTAATCGAAGGAGCGGTCAACACATCAATGCCACAAGTTCTTCTTTTGGCAGGCAAAGCGCATATCACAGCGGCAAAGTTGACCAGCGCTAGCACCAATATCTTGCCAGTTTGCTAGCCCTTGTCAGTACATGTTTTAGAACATCATCAGCAATGCATCAGGTTGATTGTAATGCAAATCCTGCATGTAATAGATGCAAAGTAACATACTGTCATATGATTATAATTTCATGTCGAACAAAACTAAATTCGCTTCAGGTGGATAAATACGCAACTCGACGAAGTGAAGCAGCACCAAATTTTATGTATGCAGATTAGCCTCCATATAAGAAATGACCAAGTTTAATTTTGTAATTAATAAATTTAAAGTTTTGGCTGCTGTGTATCACATAGCGCTAACAGACATAAGATTCTAACCTAAATCATACTCTTTCAATGGAAACCAATTATTTTCAATAATTTTCACAAGGATGCAACTTCTCGGATTTATATAACTTTATAGAACTTGCCGTTGTATATATAGTGTTGAAAATTCTATTAATTAACCTTCAAGAATATAGTATATCTCACTATGCATCTGCAAAACTAAGAGTCACTCTAACTAGCCATATAAGAAATAATTTACCAAATCGGAATGTTCGAGGCGACGATCTAGTAGGTTTGAAAGACTATATTTACCATATTTTTTATTCTTATGTGTCTGCTAGGAGGATACATCTAGGCTTCTGGTGCATCTACCGGTGCGGGACTTTGTGCGCCGGGTCGGAGCTCGGACAGTAGCGCCTGGCGGAGGATCCGTGGCTGCTCTTTGTGCGAGTATCGGCGCTGCTCTAGCAGCCATGGTCGGAAAGTTGTCGTTTGGACGCAAGGCGTGGGAACATCTCGATGAACCAATGCGTCGTCTCATTCCTGTTGTCCATCGAGCTTCTGAAGAGTTATTACCTCTCGTAGATGCAGATACCGACGCTTACATGGCAATCGTGGCAGCAAATAGGCTTGGGGCAGCGACCCCCGAGGAAGCGCAGGTATACTTTTTTTAGATACCCGAAAATCCCAAAGCGGTGTGGGGTAGAAGAGGTACTAAAATTTTTCTTTGGCATTATTAATTAATATTGAACGCCAAGCAAAACATTCCCTCACCCTTTTATTTGATATTATTTTATGTCAAACAAATGGGTTCAATAGTCAACAAATAGTCCTCAACGTACTTTTAAATCTACGAAATTAAAAAAAAGTCTTCAGTTTCATGCTACAGATTGAGTTATTGTATTGTACATTTAGGTAAAAGAAGAATCTGTGCAGGCAGCAGTAAAACATGCAATTCATGTACCGCTTTCGGTATGTCGCTTGGTTGACCGACTGTGGCCTACCCTCAAGGAACTGGCATCTATCTGCAACATTGCTTCGAAGGCTGATTTACAGGTACTGCGCCAACGACAATTTTGTTTGTATGCTGTGGTAATATGTATCCTAGCGTATCAATAATCATAGCAACTTTTTTCGTACACCATTACTCTTAATAACTTACGGATAACTCTTAATAAGAAAAGCATGTATAATGTATCTCTTAGTAGTCACCGCAAGAACGTTTATCCGATACTTTACAGTACTTATTTTCTAGTATTCCTAACTTTATCCCATGCTAGAATCCATAATACTCATAAAGCGACTATGAATAGTGCGATATATACACGTGTTAGAACCTCCGAGTAGTCAACTTTCCCTGTCGTTGCTGTAAACACACGCTATCCTCGTTATTGAGTCTACGTTATCCCTGTGCCTTGTAAAGCTTTTTCCGTTTTCATATTGGTTGACGGTCCGCTGCCATGTATAATATGTTGCTTGTTGGTAGCTCGGCACCGGTTCAGACCCGATTCATGGTTCTCTGATGACTGAATTTGTATTCATTCATACTTGTCTAACTTTAGTCACCCCGCTGTAGCACTTCAGTACAATCTGGGTATCTCAGTTCGCTCCACACTTACAGCGTCTGGCAGTGAGTGCCTCGGTCAGCTTTTCGAGTGATGTCATTGCCTGCTTCGCGTAATTGGTTTGGTTTGACCCAAAAGGATATGTATCCGTACGATTTCTCTGCGCCAGTACTCTCCTCTAGATGTATAGGGGGTCTATTCAAGCGTAGCCTCTTTTTCGTGAAGATCACTGTTGTTCTTTAGGACGGCCGTTAGTGTAAGCTAAAATCTGTTCCTTCTTTTGAATTACAGTATCCATAACTTGGCGTCCGGATGTTATGCGCGAACGAGGTCCCTTTACTGTTGACAATATTTCTGACGCCCTAGACCTCTTCAAACAAAATCCAGTACTGAATAATTAATGTTATTATTTAAACGGCCCAGTAATTCTCAATCCTGCTGTAAACAGAGCGAATATTGAACAATTTGATCTTAATTGCTCGAAGAATTAAAAAACTCATAACCTTTGTGTTGTGCAGTCAGGCTGTTTTCCCCATGTAACAATCTAATCGTTATTTAAGAGGTGTTTATTCTGTATCCGGAGTATGTCTCAAAATTTATTATATATTGGCTATGATCTATTGACTCTATTTTATACTCTGGTAGTATCGAAAAACACTTCTCTCTTCTTGAATCCATTATCTCCTCACTTATTACTTTTGAATTTATTTCATACTGTATATTGCATGCAAGCTAATAATGCTCAGCTGTATATTGTATTTTCCGTTTGTAAAACAGTACTTAAATTTCATTAATGAGTTTGAGTTCGAAACAGTTTTAGTTTTTTGGGTTTGTGGTATATGCGGTATGTTCTCTATTGATTGACAGACAAGACAGAGCGATAGGCTACAGTCAACAACTCTACAATAACTCGGGATTCTGTTTGATCATCTGTAGGTTTTCTAATTGTATTGTTTACACAGGTAGGAGCCAAGGTCCTAGAAGCAGCTATGTGCGGTGCGTACTACAATGTGATAACCAACTGTGAAGACCTCGTCGATGAAACTACTCGTGAAAAGGTTAAAGCAGAGGCAGAGCGATTACGAGCAAATGCGCAGACCATGAGTCACACCGTACTCGCTGCACTTGAACAAAGAGCTACGAATGAGCTACGCCAGGTGTAGGATTCGAAAGACATCCCAACCATGGCGGATAGGCCAGTGACTAGCGCATCATCTGGATTAGGATGGCACTACACCAGCACTAGTAGGGGAACGGACTCGAATGCCAGTAGTCCTTGGATGTCGCCGACGAACAGACCAAGGAAAAACTGGACTTATGGGCCACATGCTGGCGGCTACACATAGAAGCAAGGGTAATAAAGGGTTGCCACGGTTTACACTCATTCTCCGAAGAGCATCATAATAACGTAACACTTAAGCTATTGGCTTCACTACCTCGTCTGCATACCAAATGACTAAATGTAATTGTGGTTAGTTAAATAACATTTGATTCCTATTAAAAAGAGCTCCTAAATGTGAAAGACTTCCTGAAAGGAAGGAGCACATCTGCTCAAACGGTAGAATATTTCTGCAATTGAGGCCTTTAAACTTAACAGCATGATATGCGATCAGAATAGTCTGTTTCAAATAAATTTGAGCGCCATAGATGTTTGTGCTGCACCTTACCATTCCAGAGTTTAGTAGCCAAATCGAATATAAACCTCATAAGTAACAAACAAGGTGTACAAAAACGAGCGCTAGAGTCCTGTGACAGCAATAATACAAAAGAGGATAGGTAAATGATCATGCGATATTATAAAGATTCAACATTGACCCTCCTATAATTTTTGCGGCTTTTTACTGTAAGATGCTGGACAGTTTGGTCTTCCGTTACGTTGATAAAAAGCATGTGCCATGATTATATACCTACAGCAACAAGAATATGCAAGAGAAGTTTTATTACGTGGGTCTACCATAGCATATTAAAATAAGCAAGTCCCCTATAAGTATTTTGAGACCTGCTGTGTCATTCAGTATTGCATAATGTAATAAATGGATTACAGAGAAGACCTGATCAAGATTTATTGTGATACCTATTGACCTGATTATTTCAACTTTTGCGCGTGCTTTGTTACATATGACAGGGTTTCTTTTTAAATTACTTTGTCAAAATTACCACTGTAATGTGCGTGCATCTATTGCACAACATCATGTCGTATAAAGGTACGTCATGATTCATTAAATAACATTTATTATATAGGAATAAAGGGTGGTTACATCAAAACACGTAGCACTTCATAAAAAAGCCTGTTACAATTCCATTTATTTTATATTTTTCCAATGATGCAAAAGAAACTAGTATAATAGAATAAATGACATTTACAATTGCAAGCAAACTTAAAACTTCGCCATTCGCACCGTATTATATTATTCCTTAAAATTATTATTCATCTAGTAAAGTGCTACTTGAGTAGTCCATTGCACATTTTATAACTTAAACAAATAAGACGCTGAAACATTATTATTACCACATGGGAGTCTTGCCCTTACTAACCCAAGATCTGCCTAGGCGGATGTATTCGAGTTCGTCATCATTAATGATAATACGAACACGTCTAAGCATAAATATATATTATATATGAGGAAAAAACCGTACCGCTCAATGTATTTTACTTTAGGACCCGCTTCCGCAGAAAGTAAAATACGTACTGATATTGCTAACAATGAAGGTACAAACATTTACATTAGTATTAGCATAAGAAAACAAGCCTTGGAAGCTCTAATCTTACCTTAAAACCACAAAATAGATCAGATTATTGGTATAATAACTTGTTCCCGGAATTGTACTGTTCGATAAAATGGTCTAGCTTTTAATTTCCTTAATTGAATGGGTGAAATCTTTGTAATCTTTGTGTAAGAAGACGCATTATTAAAATTTGGAACATTTAACGCCAAAACGATATCATCCAGTTACGTATGCGGCTAGCTACTGCGATTATTATGGTTATACTAGTTAGTGTTATGCCAGTTTTCACTTCTTGTCGAGGCTTTTTAAAATGTCCTCGCACATTTCAATTTTATATAAAGCTAGCTGTTTCAATATTTATTATGCTCAAATAATAACGTGGATAGAAGCATTTCTACGAGCCACGCATTAGGTCTAACTATAATCTATGACGTTTTTACGCAAAGGTATATTTTGGCATGAAGACCGTAAATAACATACAAACGAACGCATTAAATTGCCCTTGCTATTGTACGGTTGTGCACATAACGTATACCTATGGTATCTTACGAAGAAACTGGGTAAAGCGAGAAATGACGGTTCTCTCAGTTGCCTGGGCAAACCACTGCATATTGCATGTGAATACTATTAATTAAAAAATGTGGTAGACACAATAATAAGTACCCATTAGCTGCCGTATTGAAAAGACTTGCTCTGACATTTTAGTACGTTCTGTATCTCTTTCGTATTTATTGGTTACCTACCGCTTTTTCCGTGATAGGTGTGTCATCATGAGAAAAGTGAGGACACTTTGCTGATCATATATATAGTTTGCTGCGTAGTTTGCTTACTAAATCTTATAGAGTTGATATTCAGTTTTGGCCTCACTTAAAATATTGACTACAAATATTACACATATTGCAATATTGACCGCGCACAATATTAAGCATGCCCGTTCTGTTTTTGTAAAGAAAAGGTTGCTGTCACGCAAACTATCCACTCTGCCCATGCAGGAGGTATTTCGTTGTAGATATCAACTATTGAAATTGTATTCATATGAGATTTTGGGACTTGTTTTTTAATACGATGAGGAAAGTCCAGCGGAAAGGAACGCGCTATATGCGACGTCTGATTCCTTCTAACCAACTTCATGGATTTTCACGTCTTAAAATTTTTTTTCTTGGTGAGAAACCTTTAACCCCATTCTTATACAGGAGAGTTATTAGAAATTCTCTTTATGAATGCTTTTGATTAAAATTTGATGGAAAATACTTTGACAAAATAAAGGCAACGACAATTTTGTTTGATCTCTTGCTTGTACGACGTGCGCGTAAGTAACTATCCATACTCAAGGGTTACCTACGACCATACATGTATACGATTCAAAGGGATACGTTTTTGCCAAATTTGCGCCAAACTAACCGCTGGGTAACCTTATTTAACATTTATTAATTTTAATTTAAAATAAAAATCTCGACAAACAGATCATAGGAACGTTTATTGAGACCGCTTTAACCTTATTTAACATTTATTAATTTTAATTTGAAACAAAAATCTCGATAAACAGATTATAGGGACGTTTATTGAGACGGCTTAACTCGTTTAGGTGTTGCACTCATGCGCTTTATATATTCTGGAACAGACTTGATAGCGTGACTAACATTCGTGCCGAAAGGTGTTATGTCATACGTAATCCCCAGATCCTAGAAAGCAATTTGCGGTTAGAATTCTCCAGATTGCAAGCATTGGGAACGATCAAATACATATGAAGAATATTTCTTCCCAACCACTACGAGCTTTTCTCTTCACAGAGGGGTCAAAAGGTCAGCGAATCCTCAATTCGTTATCTATTGTATTTATTAACCAGTATTCCAAAAACATAAATGAACTCTGCGGTTATTTTAAGAGATTTTCAATTGTACCCAATTTCAACTAGTTATTTACTCTTAGCGTTCTACTAAATAAAGTATTGATAAACACTTGTTTGATAAACTTCTTCAAACTTCTGGCCATGCTAAATATAGGGCTGATTCGGTTGTGCATTTTAAATTTACGGCTTTTTCAAAATAGTCACTCTAAGATGAATGTACGGCGTGTCTCAGTCATGAAAGATCGGAAAGAAATATTAGTGACAAAAGTTATAGGTGTTGAGACATCAACGCAACTTGATAGATTTAAGAAAGAACAATGCAAATTTTACTTAAAAAAGGCATAGCAAATACTTCCTATCGAATATTTCGTTGACTTTGCAAATTTTTATTGGCAAACATATTTGTTTTAAAGGATTACGGATTGTAAGGGGCAGTATGTTTTTTCTGCAAATCTGATAATAAATCAAACTTTTCGATTCGTATTTACTGTTCGGTGAGAATTGAGCCCGCATGACACTCACTTTCAGCGATTCTATCTGTTGTTGGAGCCGAGCTAAACGAAGTTCTTTGTTCCGGTCTACTCGTGTCTCGGTTCTTTCCATATTGATAAATGTTCGGGTGATCTCACGATTTAAGGGAAACGGAAATCGTAGAGAAAACATATCAGGGTGCACCTAGAACGATTACATAAGTTACATACCTTTATCTCTCACAGACGCAAATATATATGTTTATATAGTGAAAATAGAAAATAGCTTTTGCACAGGGATCAATCAGTAATTGTTGGTCAGACCTATAGCCAACATCCTAGTAATGTAGATATATGCTTTGAGCTCTACGCTTGGAGCCACCGCCAACATACATTTGCAACCGTGAAGTAACAGTAAAGAGCGTAACGTGTATTTTTGATGCCCGTTTTCAAAACTTGTTGAATTCTGTATAGAACTAAAGGTACGAAGAACTGTGTTTCTCATGTTTCCCGCAGTCCAATATAAAATTGTTTATCGTTAAAATATGCTCGACCGGTTATCCTCATATAACATGCAACATTGTTTTGCAAGACTCACCTTATCTTTAGGAACTACACTACATTTCAGCAAACGTTCAAACATCAGGTAACCATTCATTGTTTCGGCAGCAATTTTAGCGACGCAATCATGAAGGAACTCTACAAAGGCATAACCACGTGAGCCACCTAGAAAGTATTAGATTGGATAATAAACATGTTTGTCCAGTTTATAAAACGTGCTATATTCATTTAAATATCTAAACTGCAAGGCGTTCTTGGATGACTTCTGTAAACTAGATCGTTCCAAAGAAACACCTTTCGCATTTCTTAATCCTACATATACATATCTAGATGCTACTGTGTGCTCTAAACTAATGAAGGGTTATAACGAGGCATACCAAACTCTTGTTAAGATAATGAAGGACTAAGTTAAAACAAATTTTGTTCACAACATACATTTTTCTGGGCATTGTCTATTCCTTTTCATTTTGAAATACACTAGACCATCTGGAACTCTACGTTACTTACAAAAAAAAAACATTTACGAAGTCGCGAAAATTCGATTATTCCCTTGAATACGCTGTAACTGCTAACATGTCCTTCCACTGTACCTATATTAGTTAGATAAAGCTATAGAGCACAATGCAGTATTAAGGGTTGCGATCTTCTTACCAGTTTTTCTACTACGGGACACCCGAACGCGGGTCACTTCTCCGAATTGTGAAAAATATTTTCTCAACTCATCTTCATAGAAACCATGTGGAATGTGCCCTACGTAGATTACACCACGGCTCTTGGATATCTCTTTTTCTTTTGCAATTCGAGCGGCCTGCTTTGACATAGCGTTATCCAGCTTTATACGCTTTTCGACGACTTCACTCTATGCAAGGTATATGCAAGACACATAATAACAGCATAATAACTTCATTAGTAGAAGAACAACTGGACAGAATGCAGTTTGAACCATTCGCACTTACGCCAGCTGTTTTCAGTAGATCCCTTTAATATCATTATTAGCCTATTCCATCTGTACCTCTTTATCTTTTTTGATTAGATTGCATAAAAGACAGGCCGAATCTAAGTTTTGTATCAATACCATATTGCTGATGAATGTAACTCAATACACAACTGCTTTATGATTTCATTTTTACCGATCTATTCAATGTTTGTATTTATGTTATAGTATCTCTTTTTATCTATCCCGTTGTAAAAAAATTGCATTGCATTGCATCTACGTATTCCCTCCTGATAATTTCCCTGTTATCCTACTGATATATTCTTCACTCAATTTTACAATGAATTATTATGAAACCCAAACTAATATCCTTTTAAGTCTTCATATATGTATCATTACTTTTTCATGCAGCAGCTCCTACCAAATTTTAGTGATCATTATTCCAAATAGGCTACAAGATCAATGTGTAAAAAAACGATGCCTTGCGTCAACTCAAGACAGTGTCAATGCAAAGTTAGAAATGCAATTTCTAGCTAATCATAGTTAATCTAATGGAGCACGCTTACGTTAAAACTAAAAATTCCCTGACTGAGTACCTTCAAAATGGACAAGTGAATTCTAAAACAGAAAAGGCAATGTCTGATGAATGAGTAAAAACGAAACACTTTGATGGTGAGAATTCGTAAAAGTATTTGAATATCCAACAGTATATTTCATGCCTAAGAAAAATTATATTCTTGCTTCACGTGATTCACCGGCTTAAACCATAAGTGTAACTTAACATTTACGATTTCCTTTTAGGTGTATGAAATATTTATAAATAATGGATTATTGACTGTGAATTGAAAAAATCGTTACCCACGGAAATATTTCGTTTCAACCTCACCTCTTTATAAAAAATTTTATTTTGTGCCATTAGAAGCCATATCAATAGACAAGCTGTTGCTTTTAATTAAAAAAGTTACAAAGTTGAATAGAACCATATTTGGCAATGGTTTTTGGGATAGTGAGATACATATGTTGTTTGCTCCAGAAAAGTATTTTCCATAACACTATGATGTATATTTGTGCGTGTGCCTATTACCTATAATACTTATGCCTTGCATTGTATAAATGTACATATTTTAGTCTTTACATATCGGTTTCAATTTGAGTAGTTGGCTATAGAAGACCTGGTTTAGATGTAAATATTTACAAGCATTCCGAGTTAAAAAGTCCATCTTTGGAACTGTTCAACGTACAAATCTTTTGCGTTCAGCCTCATCTTCATGCAATGCCGTGTTATCATTCGATGACGTCCGTTTAACACCGATTGTCTTCATTTTCGGAGTCATTTTCCAGTTCGCCCTGGTAGTTTCACTGTAGGTTTAACTGCAAAACTGGCAATTGCCGAATTACTGGTATAAAACAGGTAATAACAATGACTTAATTAAACACAGGGTTAAACTAGCTTAAGAAAAAATAGCACAGCTTACTCAGACTCTCACGTGGAATCCTAGTGCCAGACACGTAAGTCTGAACCAACTCTGTTTTATTTGTCAATAAGCTATGGTGTATCGTCTGCTCGCAAGAGTATTAGGTACTATTTTAGCAATAAGTAAGAACAAATAATTATAAAATGTAGCTGGCATACTTTTTAATTTAACCATAAAATCTTATTAGTTTTTATGAGTGTTCCAATCATATATATTAGTGCCATTAAGATGTTTTTAAACACAAAAAATCCTCACGGATGATGATTTTAAGAAAAATTACACTGTAAAGTTTACCATTTCATAGCACCTGAGGAGCACGCATTATATAAACAATTTAAGGTCATCCTGAGTGCTTCGACCTTTATCGTGTTACCATAATCCAAAAAGAAGTACATATTACTGAGTTGCAGAATTGATATAAAAGAATAAATTTTCATTACTGACAGATGCTGCGTATCTACTCGTCATTATGCATATAGAAGATAGAACTACAAATTAATAATATTAATGGAGATGCCTCTAAATTAACCTAGGATGAGACTAATCAACACCTAAATGGTCGGCAAGGAAAACGAGTACTTCTTCTGATATATAATGTATATTGCATAATGATATCTGATTTACTATATCGTTTATCATGAATCGTAAAATGTTATTTGGGTACACCTTGTTTTAAATAAAAAACGGCGAGATCCTCTTATTCGGAGTACGAAATACTATTTGTATTCACTCCCGACATTCTTACATAACTTAGCGATTGGCTCATTCCAAAGCTGGAGATCGTCGTGAAAGTAAAGTTCCGGAGATGATTTTTGACGACGCTGAAGCATGAGAACATGTAAAGCTTAGCAAATTGAGTAATAAAAGTGATTAAAATTAATACAAGAATTAGAATATAAACTAACAATGACCATAGATGTATTACGGAACAGAATCAATTTATAACGGGGTAGCTGTCTCAACGACGATCCCTAGAGCTTCGTGCAAACTGCCAAGTTAATTTAACTTGCGTTTTTTTCACGCAATATCTGTTTTAGGTATTTATACAGCAGCTGTAAACATTATCGTGCAATACCCATTCGTGTGCAAATCGAGAATAACTAGGGATCGTCTTTGAAAGCTGCAAACGGGTAATTGCCTATGTTTGGGTTTTCACGTTGCTCCCAAGACACGCAGTTTTAAGAACGTAAACAAGCTTTCAATCAAAAGAAAGCTTGTTTACATTCCCAGTTAGCCAGCTGATGCTCCGTCTTTCCTGTTGTTTACTACCAAGTAATGTGCGCCACGACTTAAAATTGATGTCTTTTTGTAAAATGAAATCAGTGGAATCAATTTTTCGTTGCGCCATCAGGAATATTTTGGCGGGAATACTTTATGTACGTAAGTCACTACATATTATGTAATGTTGGCTACCAGTAACAGTCTTCTCGGAAGAGTGGGATAAAGAACCCTTAATTTTACTAGTAGACCCCTTTTATTAATTATTAAAGTATCAATTAATTAATTAGAATTAATAAAGACAACGCTTAGACGGTTTCAGAAGGGTATGGCATTTGACACTCAAAAGAACATATGGCTTTTATGAAATCGGTTTTGTTGTTGTCTGAAATTTGTTGGTATTTAATTTTTATGGTCAGCGGAAGTATATCAAAAATACATAAGCATTACACGAATGTAGCTAATATGCGTATATGTATATATGAATATTTTTAATATTCATAAATTGCGGGAATGAATGCTGCTAATTTCTAGTGAGAAAGCAGACAGTGTGTCTCATTCTGACAAATATGGCATCATTGCATGAGGCATTTCCGTTGTCACATAAAACTGTTCTCGTATTGGATCGCGGCGGAGATTTAGCAGTGTCTTGTCAACAACCAATTGACGTTGACCAGATTACCAAGACCCGAACTCTGATTCCGTTAGCGCCCATCTCTAAGAGCCTCTGGACTTGTGCTGTTGAAAGTGCTGTGGAATACTGCCGAATCGTCTGGGACATTTATCCGTGTGGTAAATTTTATCGTTTTTTTGTGCAAACTTGATGGGCTTTTGATAGAATTTTAGGTAAAACGAACAATACTATATCGTTTATTATAGACGGTAGAAGCGTGCATTCTACGATGATAAACTTTTACTCCGAATCATTTATCAATTTCATAGTTTATTCCTAATACATTGTGCGTTTAGATTCAATGTGGTTTTTGACGTCGCTGTGTTTGCAGGCCGCTTAGTGCGGTTTGTTATGGGCGATGGGGATGATTCGCGTTTCCTCAATCTCTGGCAGGAACAGTCTGTTGCGCAGTTAATGTCAGCGTTTGCAAAGGTTAGTTTTCCTTGATACACATTTTTACTGCGGCACTAACCATTCGTCATTTTGTTCTATAAGATGACATGAACCTAACTTCGGTCAGTGTGCTAAACTGAAAAATGGTTCATATTATATGGGTCCAGTTGGCATGCAATAAAACAAAGTTGAATTTTTTTAAGTTCTTTACTTAATCAAGTGTCTGTATTTTTAAAATTTTTAACATTTCTTCCAGGAAGCAACATTTTGTTAAGGTAACCTACGTAAAAACTCCCGAATTAGAATCGGCCAACTGTAGCACGCAATATGAAATCTGATCTTTTCTATGTTTTCTTTAAATAGAGGTTGTACAAAATGTTTCTATAGTGCGAAGTGCACTTAGGCGTTTTGCCATGCACTGTGGCTCATTAAGTAACATTTACCGTCAAAACCTACATACTCTATAAAGTTTCGCTGTCTTTCTAGATTCCGCCTCCATCCGCCACTCTGCGTAACAAGTTGGATATTGTGCGCGCTGTGGAGATGGCTTTAGGCACATTGTGTGAACCGTCAGAAGCACAACATACACGCAGAACAGACCTGGATCGAGCAGATCGAGAAGTTCCGAACAAGGGCAGAGTCATAGTAATTACGCAATTACAAGGAGAATCCGAGGTAAGCTTGTTGAAAACATTGTTTGAACACGGAACATGTATTGAGCTGTACATAAACAGGAAAAGCCATTCACGTTTGCTAGTAACAGTGATGTACTGAAGAACTTGAAAAAGCGCGTTGTTTGCATTTGAATAAAAATATGTAAACATGATAAAAATAAAGTACTCCCTATATTCACAACTGCAGTTATGATAGTATCAAAATAACTGGCACGGTTAATTTGGGTTGCCTCTTAAGGTTGTTATGACTTTACATAGTCTGATCAGCAGTACTTCGCAGTTGTTTGACATCTCTTAACGCTTCCAAGAACACGCACGGTAATATTACTATGCCGCACGTAATAGTTACATCAATAAGTTCTAGTGGGCTACGTTTTCTGTCTTCCAGCTTTGGTGTTATATAGTCTCCGTGAGATTTATAATAATATTAATGTTTAGATTGTAATGCGCGATTATCGGCTATCTGGAATAATGTGAAATGAGATGCCAGTCTCATTTTGGTTTTTCAAAAATGGGTATCATTTGATAGTATGATATGTCATTCCTGGGGATCGGGATTACAATGCATCGTGAATTACAGTTTGTGTATTTGTTCCTAAGATAGAACTTTTAATATCAAATTCATATTTTGAAAGTAATCCGTATGTACCTATAATTTCTGCCCCAATGCAGTGCAACAATAGTTTTACGTTCAACGATTTACTGTTGCAGATATTAAAGTTAGAGAAGAAACTCGCGACGACACTAAACATCGTCAATAAGGTGGCATCCCAGGACGATAAACAAATTCCGCTGGATGAAGTGGAAATTGTGTTAATACATGCGTCACCAGGCTCTAAGGAAATCTCTATCGCCCCAACCAGACGATTGTATAATAGTCCGCTACTTGCTATTGAGATTCATAAGGTTACATCGGGTTATTTTCTTTCGGAGAAACTTTGTCAGCTAGTTCAAACTCATTATGAATTAGCTATTACCACTGTAACTGGTTAGTAGTGATTCTAGTCTAATAATAATACACGACGCTGTAGGAGAAACCACAATATATGTAGTAACATCGTGGTCCACGTCGTATTCGTGCTTCGTTCACAATAATTTTCGCTAATAAGCAATTTTCGCTTAAGCTGTTAGAAAATTATACTTGAAAATTGTCGTTTTTTGCAAATTATTATCTACATAGTGTTTTCGCTAAGTATTAGCCTGACACATCCCTAAAATCAAAGAAAAACTGTACATTAAACTACATATTGCCCATTTCAATGCATTAAATCTTTCGTCGGTAAACTATGTGTTATGCTCAATAGTAGGTTTTTTAAATATTTGTTGCAGTACCCTTTGTCGTCCAAATGAGATTTTGTTTTTTTCGACATCTTTAAAACTGTGAGAAATATCTTTCATATAAAAAAACCTGAGTGTTAAAATACGTTGTAGTTAGAAATGTATTTATTAGAAATTTATTTTATAGTTGTTTAGTTTTGCGAATCCCTTAACTTTTGCCACAAAAATTACAACAAAAAATAAGTGGTATGTTTCCGCAGCTATTTATAAATTTTCTTGCTCATTTATTTACCTATAACTAAAAAAAATAAGCATAGGATGAAGCACTATATTCCATGCACATATGTACATTCTGAGTTAAAAACAGTGAGTCCCATACATTCACATATTTTTTAAAGCTCGCGAAAATGGAATTTTTTTTCACAGACAGAATGCTTTCCTAGATTAATACTGGTCATCATTTGTGAAAAATCCGTGTAGTTCTAGGCTTTTCTAGTATTGATACCTCGTGAGAAACCAATTACCTTCAATATGTTTATTTTTTATCGATCCCAATTACTTTATAATTTCACACGCAATACATTCAAGCTCAAATGTATTGGTGCCAGTTCTATATTAGCAAGAAGATAAAATTGTGATTAAAATAAATTTGCGTTTTATCTAAATCGTAAAGTTATTTGAAGTAACAGGTGTGTTATTTGAAGTAACAGGTGTATAAAGGTCAATAAAATGGCATTATAAAGTAGAAATGACTGTTGAGTTCTATATACAGGAGAATCTATATATAGGAGTTCGGCTATAGGAGGTATTGTTGAAAAGCACTTATGATTTTAAACTTCAGGCATTCCTATGAAGGAGGAACAAAATGCAAACTCATCAGCCAACTATGATGTAGAACTTTTACATCCACTAGCAGCTCATGCCGACTTTTTAAAAGACAAGGATGGTTGCAAGCACGACTCCAGCAGCTACAGTAAGGTTAGTGTGGTTTCTTTGGTATATTTTTTAAGTTTAGAGAGTTAGTTATTGTCACATAGAAACGTGGTGTTCGCTGAAATATTTTTGGGCCTATGGAGGAGTGTAATTTTATGTTTCGCGCGGAGTGAAAATATTCGAAGTAAAATGACGTCTAATAGAGCGTTTAAGGCGTATGTTACAAAACAATGTCGTCGTAAGCAGAGGGTGAGTATCTGTGTTTTTCTTACTAGTATTTTTACAACAAGTTAGCGAGTGTTGAGTTCGTAAACAGGAACGGCCATATCTGAGAAACTTCGACTACTGGTAAGAAAATTAATATTTTTCTTAATATCGGCTCATTATACACTTACCCTAGAGACGTATGTGGCACACCTCTACTAAAGAGAGGGACAGACAAAGGTACATAGTCTTTCAAAATGTAAATTTACAGTTTAAGCAAGTAAAGGCGAAGGCAGGGAAAGTACGCAAAGCGTACGTTTGAGAGGTAAATGTACAATACCTTCCACCTACCGCTTTTCAGCATTTTTCTTAATTGTGAGTTCTAAATACGAAACTTTGTCCTCAAAATCCATCTGTGGATTTTAAAAAGGCTCAACCACCGTGTGAATTCTGGGCTTATAATATGTCGATGAGTCAATCGTGTGAATTTTCTAAGAATGTACACTAAGTGCCCAATTAGAGTTAGTAGTAGCTTATATTAGCAAGAAGTTATGTCTAATCATATTTGGCAGAGTGTTACAAGAGGATTGCTAGAAATGTTCATTGTAATAACTTTAAATGTTGACAATAAAATCGTTTAACCGGCTATATTTGCCGAGAAGGAATCACCGAAACCAAAACAGTATATACATCCGATTGCCTACAGTATCAAAGCTGTTAATTAAAACAAACATTCATACAGGAACTATGACAAAGGAAGATGTAAGCCAGAAGGAAAATGCGCCCAGAGACATACATTTACATAATATAGATAACCTCACGTACAGCTCAGTAAATAAACACGTTACTGTTATTGCATCATCTCACGGAGACAAAGCTAGGGAAGAATACAGACAATCTGTAAACCCTATAAAAAGTCGTTTCAAAAGTCATCTGAAAAATATGGATTGTATGTAAATTAGTTAAATAATAATTGGAACCAGTGTGATATTTTTCAATTTTTCAAGGAAAACCTGTGATTAAGCTTTGTATCGATCAGGTAGAGCAGCACATAAAAGAAAACTATCCACGGTTGCGAAAAAAGAATATGTTTGTATAGCTCTGACACATCACCGTGTGTGTATATGTGCGTGTGGGTGTTTCATAGCGATATACCCGTGCGTCTACGCCGAACTTTGCTTGAACGTATTGCTATTTCTTAAGACAACTTAAATATAAGTAAATCGAATAAAGGTAGATAGAGCGAAAGCAACGCAGGAATGAGATTCTGTAAACCACATTTTAATGAAATCTGGTGAAAGAGATAGTATTGGCAGTAAGCCACAAGTGAATGCACTGTTACAAAAAATTATTGTATATTTTCATATTGGTATGCCTGTTTTTACCTGCATTCACGAAGGTTTTAACTGCATTGGAAGAATTAAAATAGTCACATAACTAACAAACGTGTAAAGCAGTGACAAGCTAAGATCGTATTTATTCGTAGAATTGAGACTGTAAAAAAGAAAACTTATACAAGTTTTCCGTGATAACCATTATTACTTTCAAAAAGTTGAATTACATCTAAAATTTATTTGATGTGCCCTTCACTGTAATTCCTATCAAAATAAAAAAAATAAGGAGGAAAAAAAGAAACAAAAACGTATACTCGAAGGGAAGACGGGCCAAATATAAAGAGAACAACATTTCTGTAAGGCACGTTTCACACTTGCAAACATGAAACCATTTTTCTTTCTTTCTAAGCATCCCTTTTTTTTTTTTTATAAGATAAAGTATGCTGCATATTAGAATCAAAACTGGAATGATCGGGCGAAAATTGTTGCAGGTAACATTGAAGTGGTGCACTCCCCGAACAGCGCCTACTCAAGAACTTCAACACTGTACAGCAGCACACCGAATCACTCCTGTTGACATCAATTCGCGACCATCTTCATGCCTTACGAATTTTCTACTCACTGGACGAGCGGTTATGCTTGAACTACCGAGAAAATCCGGTCAGGTGAGCCACACGTTAGCTAGCTTCATTCACACAAAGTGTTTCGAAATCAGTACTCTAAGTGATCATAGTAATATGCACATTTTATATATTGTTACGAACTTCATATAAAACCCAATAGGCGTGTACATATAAAAGGCTCGATTAAATACAAAAAAAGAGAATAAAAAGGACTATGAGGCTTACTGCTTATTGTTATGCGCCAAAAGTTATTTTGACAATAATTAGTAAAATATTATTTAATTAGGTTATTGCTTGCAAGTATATGGGAGGGTAGATAAGACTGCTTGTTTATTCTGTGCATAGATCAGGTAAATAGTAGTAATAGGTACTATTAAAAAAGATTATACTTGTCATTAATTTTATTTTCACGCCAACACACTGAAAACTCAAAAATTTGAGTCTCATCGCAAGAATAATTCACGAATTTTCAGATATCTCATGTGACTTTTTTCGACTTCATGCACCATAAGATATGGCTGAAAGAGGCTGTTTCGAGCAATGGTAGTGATAACACCCAGTAGCCGAGCTAAGAGGTTGTTCAGTTTTCCAATTCCAACGAGAGACAATTGTGTCCAGAAACAGGCACGTTGCAATTTTTTGAATCTTGTTCGAATATTTTTGATTGAGTGCTACTAGATATAGGGTATTAAATGTAGGTGTGTTATCCCGATAACTGTTCATTCTGGAAACTCCTTGAATTTTCTAAAAATGACCCTACATTGAACGCTCGCTTGTGAAGGTTCTAGTCAACTAAAAAGCAAGGCTTGCTTAATGTAGGTATTTTCGCACGTTTTATGTTTAGTCGGTGATAATAATAAGAACAATGTGAATTTATTGAATGTAGCCATTCGGCTGATCTTATAAAACTAATATATATATATAATGAGCTAAACTTTTCCTTTGACTTTGACCTGCACGTACCGGGATCCGGTTGGAGCTCTCCCTGTGATGGAGAGATATAGAATTAAATAATATTAATTTAACAATTTTTACTTGCTTACAAGTATAAAATAACAGCAAAAGAAGGTAAAACTAAGCACGGTACATCTAATTGGCAATCAAATGACTTGAGATGAGAATGTGCATGTCCTCGCTTTCTCAAATTATATTACCAATAATACTTCTATATAATTGCTGATTACCACATAAAAGGCCGCTACACGAGAAAAATTCTATGCATAGGAAAACCTGTATTCATTTGGCAAAGCAATTACCGCAAAGCGCTGCGGTAAATTGTATGTAGTTGACAGGTTTTGTACAAACAACATGTACAAAGATGTAAGATTCGAACCAGAAATTCGGTTTTTGGAAGTATTCGGGCAGTTGTCGCTCGGTTTCATTAACCTAACATTCACCAGCTTTTGCTGCGAATAGTTTAAGAAAATTATCCCCGTTATTTGTTTGAAAGGTATTACATATGGACTTTTCAGATTAAGCCCGCCGGTTGTAAAAGTACTATTTCCACGCCAGCGAAATCTTGGGCGTTCTATTGCTTATCACTATGTGATACGAACTGCAGCACTATACCCTAACTGTACTTCCAAATACGTTAGGGTCGTAGGCACCCTAAACAGCAGCAAAGAGTACCTCGCATAATTTTTCGGGGCGACTAGTGCATGTTGGGAGTCACGCTCACCACGGCTAGAATATTCATGGCGAACTTTAATTCGTGGAGGGTCTATGGATGATTCGCATTTCATAATTTAATAGTATATTTGTACTTACTAGTAATAACAATGCGAGAATGAAATTTTTTTCAATTCGCGAACTACATGTACATAATAAAACGACAGTATTTAAACGAGTAGAACCCATTCGAAATCATTCTCAACTACGGAGTAATTCAAGCCCTCAGAACAATTTTCGAAGCCTCGAAACTAAATATATTAACTTTTTGTATATTTAGTACCACCGTGTTTGGTTAAAATGATCGATTGAAAAAGTTATTGTTTTTTCAATGAATTATAAATTTTTAACAGCGTAAAACTTTAAACTTAAACTTATAATAACTTAAAATTTTTAAGTTATTTTTTGAAGTTAAAATTTTTTACTTCAGGCATGTAAATTTGAAAAAAAAACATTTTGTAAACGGTCAAACTGATTAGTAGGAGTAGGTGTTGCATCAACCATGGAAATGAGTTCTTTCGAGGGTGTGAATTTCATCGTAGAATTTATTTTTTGATCACACACAAAAAAATCACAATTTGAAATATTTTATTAAGATTCGAACAGGGCTGTACTGTTGCCGGCGGTTGAAAGGAAGCAGCGAAAAAAAAATTTAATTTTCATATAGTACGCGCATGCTCTATGAGTCCGTCGCCCATCACAGGATTGTCGTGCCCAGTTCGTAATTATTTGGTCTCCTGATCTCAGTGACTCGCAAGTAGCGATAATAAAAATCTTAGTAGCATAACGTACTTACAGAAAAATCATTACGTGATTTTCTTATTAGACAAGGGATTGAACACTCCCGTACAGGTTGACGCCATCTGCAAGTCGATAAGTTAGCGGAAAGTACGATCTGTACTGTGACTAGTTTTGCATCCACAGTTTTTCGGGTCATCGGTTTCTACTCATAATTCTTTTTAGGACCGTGTTAGTTTTTAGTACTGTGCTTAGAAAACGCCAAGGGAAAGCTTCGTTCAAACTATCATTTGGGTATCACGCAGTCTTTTAGGAGAGCCACCCCAAGAGCCGCAAGAATGTTGAGATCAATAGCTCAGCTTTAGTGATGGTAAGAAAGGAAGTTCAACGGTGACACGGATGCACGAGTCCTGCTGCAGTAATTTAAAAGAAAAGACCCCATATTTGTTCGTTTGTAGATACGAAGCACTAGAGTATCTGCGCAACTCCACCTACGTTTTGGTGGCGGCTTGGCCACAGAGAACCTTTTTTCCAAACAGAGCGGGTAAATAAGTGGTGTCAACGCAAAGGATATCGGACTGTATTGCTAAAAAGCATTATGGATAGAATGACCAACATTTTGGCAACAATAATTTGTAATAATAAAGTTTTTCCAGTGAGCGAATCCGGCGGATTTTTAAACTGAATAACTTTTGAAGTAAAATAAATACAATGTTCTGGCATGTATTGGAGACATTCTCCTTCTTTTATACACTTGTCCTAGCGGCAAGGCAGCTTCTGGACAGCCATATACCTGCCATTTACGTTCCCATATATTAGTTCTTAACCTATAACTTCTTGAAATAAACTCATAGTGAGATACGTTCTCACACCAGCTGCCTTTTTTAGGGAATAAAAAGCCTTGCGATCACACGGACTTAAATCCAGAGAATAAGCGAATGAAAGTCAACGTTAAATATCCTTTGCCCAATTCAGGAAGGAATTGAGGCATGGCGATGAGCTCTGGTGTTGTTATCAGATAAATAGACTGTATACTTTCGATTGCTGTGCCGACAGTATACAAATCTCTTGGGAAACTCAAGATAGTGAGCTGCAGTCATTACTTTATTTTCGGCGAATATCTCATGCTAACAGACGCGTTTGATATCCGTTACAAGTACTACCATTAACTTATGCCCGAATCTACTGGACACTGCCATCGAACTCGATTTCTGTCCAGAAAGACACAATCTCAGTCCCTCTTCGGTTGGCGATAGAGATTGAACCATATTTTCTCTGTGGCGACCATATCTTTCAGGTGGGTTTCTCTTGAAAGCTCGCAAATTGTACATGGAATACAAAACATGCGCGTTTGACAAGCCTGGAGCTCGTTCACAGAAGACCCATTTTTGCTCAGTGTCCCTATTATAAGTGCTTACGTTATAATTCTGTAATACGTTAGATGCAAAATACCAGTTTTGGCCGATCGCATTTTTGACTCCCAGCACCACGTTCACGAACAGCCTCCGCGATCCTGACAGTGCGTGTTGCTATAGGTTCCGACATTTAATCATTTCCTTGTTGGGCTTCAACACACCAATCTCCATTCTTAAAATGTTTGCACCATTCACGTATTGTGCTTTCGTTTAAGCCTTTTTGCCTCTTGTTTCCACTAATCTTCGATTAATCTCTGCAGCATTGTGGTCTTCGAAAAACAAAAACTTCAACACTAAGCGTTAGTTTTTTATAACTAACAGATTTTTGTCCTTCTAAATTAATTCTTCCTAAAACTCAATAAGTTTGACTTTCCACATCTGCCGGATTCGCTTCTAACACCCTATTGTGCTCTTGAAAATGTAGTGACCCTTTTTTCGGTTACATGACTTCAAAGTCACATAGCGCAGGTAATACGAGTCGCCTGGGATCAGCTTTATTCCGGCGATACTCGACGAGCTAAAATTGTTCACACGCCTTTATTCAGATTTAAGATAGGGCGACTTAAAAATGAAGGCTTTGGAAAAATCCATCATTTTTATAGTTGTATTACAATAAGCATAGCAAGAAAATTGGCTACAAAAAAGCTCGATTTTGGGGTGTCACATGGATTGACGCAAAGGAATTTACTCCATTGTAATTCTATCTGCAAAAACTCGATAGAAGTATAACGAAATGGGGTGATTTCTAACAGTTAGTTGTGGATGATGAAATCACATACCTGAATCAGATACGACAGTGATGTGTAATTTAAAACATTTTTAAAGTATATGTATAAAAAAAAAGTGAAAAACTGTACTCCACAGTCTGTAGAGTGGTAAAGCTTAGACTAACGGCGAAGAAAGTGCTGCTACGATGCTATCTGCGGTTTGAAAGAAATCATACATTATGTGTTGTTGCTGTCTGGCAAACAATCGGTTTGAACCCTGACTGTCAACAACTAAGAAGATTATATTAAACAATTATAAAAAATCGACCGGAACCAGAAAATAGAGAAGGTGTCGTCTTCCACCATTACAACGTCTGAACACACTCTCTTTAGGTAGAAAAAACTGAGAGAACTTGAATAGGAAATTTTAATCGTACGTCGTAAAGCCTGGCTCCTACATAATCTATCATATGTTTTTTCTTTCTGTAGAACTCCTTTAGTACTGTTTAGTTTCAATAATAGGATACAAAAGTTTTTTGCCCAGGGAACACAACAATTCTATGGTGATGAAATTATAGCAATATCCGAAAAATGGCAGAAACTTATCGAATAAAAGGGCGTATTTAGTTTAGTACTAGCATTTTGAAATATAACAAACATTCGTTTCCATTTTTGCTTAAAAAGTATTACCTTCATATATATATATATATATATATATATATATATATATATATATATATTTGAGGTATGTCCTGAATTGCGCAAAATTATATTGACAATCTTCTTATCTTATTCCTACCATGAATGATCAGAAATTGTTGAGTCATATGTTAGCAAGTCACGGCGGAGAAATCTACATTCACACACTGGGTACCGGGCGTTCTGCTTTGGAGGATCCACCGAGCATAAGCGAGGGCAGCGGAGGACGGGTAACCGACTACCGTATTACTGATTTCGGCCTTTTTATGAAAGAACATCTTCTAATACCCTACAACACCGAACCTCGAACTGGCCAAAGTCATGAGAGCAAGGTAAACCGAACATAACTATGATACCTTTTAAAACATGCTTAGTCTAATCGTAACTTTCATGTGATTTCAGTGCCTGCATTATAGTTTCAAAACACTTCAAGCTGCTTTAAATCCGAATTATAGTTACAGTTTATAATAAAAATAATGTTATATTTTCGCTCTTGTACCTAGATGTCTGGCGGCGGCTGCAGTAATGATAACAGCTGCCCCACTCCCCTTGAGATGACAGAAACTGCAATTGCTCGTTCGACGCTTTATTGGCCTTTGGTAATTAGCGCGACCGCTGTGTATAATGTCCAAAGCCACCTCGAGCCTTTGCTAAGTATTATAGTGAAACCTCAAATCACTTCTGAACAAGTGATTGAGTGCAAAAAGGTAAATGGCAGAAATCCGCATACTACTTTAAAGAAGTTTGTATACAATTATGGAATACCTAGGTAAACACTAAAAAAACAAAAAAAAAAATTACGCTTAATAAAATTGAGTAAGCACATTATGCTTTCATATAGTACATCCTGTACGAATTGACTTCAGTGAACTAACTGTTAAAAAGTTCTTGCATAAGAAGCTTGTATGCGACGATTTTCCAAGTGATGACAATTCTAGTTATTCTGCAATGAAGGCCTTGTTCCCTTCTCGTACAACTGGTTATTCTGATGTGAGTGATACCTAAATCCAGATATATTTTTATTGCAACATATATTTTTTAGTTTGGACATTTTACACCATAGGCTATCATTGCATCCAAAGACTGACGACGTTTTACGGCCTTTTATCGAGTGGTATTGATTAACTTCTCATTTTTTAGTTCAATCATAAAATATCAGAGCTCTTAAAGCTCGTATGCTATTTTCCTAATGGATTCAAAAAATTGAATATTTATCGATTCCGAGCACATTTCAGTACTGTATAGAATAAATGTTTTATATTTGGCACATCTACAGGCGTATTAATCAGTAACGAAAAATATTTACATTTCAGCAATTATATGTAATATACCTTTATATAAAACTATCGCAACCAAAAATACTTCTTTATAATCGTCGTTTTATAGGTGATTCTAAATTTGGTGAGCATGGAAGCCAAAGGAACCGCTTTAGCCCTCTCGTCGGTCGCTGCTGTCGCTAGTGGTTTAGGGGGTGGCCGGTTTGCCAAAAGCGGACCTAGAAAGGAAGAACATTACAGGTAAGAAAAATTCCACTATAATAATATTATCAGAGTACCAATTAAAGCATATTACATATGTAACAACTAACATGGTGCAGCTTTCCTTGGGAAATATTAGATATTGCTTTAATCAAAACTCGATAATAAGGTAAGTCATAATAAATTAAGCTATCGCAAAGAATAAAAAATAACTCTTAAATCGGTCACAGCTCTAAAAAGTCATATATAACAAGGTAGGATGACATGACGATAAGTCACTATATCGGTACTTAGATTAGGCGAGCAAGATTATCTTATATTGTCATCTAATCATCTTTTTTGTATGCAAAATTTGGTACGAATTAGGGCTTTGTGGGCAGAATTGGAGCAGTTATTGAGACTTTACTGCAGTACAACAGAACATGAGCAGGTGTTAGATTGTTTGCTTGAATGCAGAAGAACTGAAGGGCATCAAGCAGGAACTCCAGGCACCGGAGCTCCAGGGCAAAGTACGGCGAACTGCAGTGGAGCAGGTATGAGTCTACTCTAATGTTTAAATGAAGACTGAAATAAAAATGGTAGCTGAATGTATTTCTATAGTTTCTTTATATTCGTTCTACACCGCGGTAAATGGATATATACCCTAGTATAGGTAGGCATTGTTGATCGAAGGATGTAGTCAGTTTATCCGTTGTATATATATAGTCATTATTATTATTAGTATAGTAATGCTTCTAATTAATCGTCGTATGTTAATGACCAGATGATCAAATTTGTTAGTGAATATAAAAAACAGGCTTAACATTCATCATTTCGAGGAATACTTTACAAAAATGCACGAGAGTGCTGACAGCAGCCTTAACCAGTTAATGAATTACTGATTAATTAAATGTCTTTTATTTACCTTTTTTGGTAATACTCAAGTAATTCGTATAAATACATTAACAACATAAAGTGAGAGCGGGCTTAAAAGCGCCAGAGTACTACGACACATGGACTGTATGAATCTAGTTAGGTTTATAAACCCTAATTTGGATATTTTTAATACCTACACATCCATATTAAGTTGTTAAAGGTTTTGTTCCTTGCAAAGTCCATGGTAAAACCTAGTCGGGACGCATCGGAATTGAAGGTGAAGCGGTTTGATCGCCAATGTGGTCGCCACCGCTGTCTTTCGTTTTTCGGAGAAATGCGCGATAGAAGTTTCATCCCTAATGAACAAGAGCAGTTCTTAATATAAAAAATGGTTAACCTGGGCTGAAAATTACCCATTGAACAACGAAGCGGTGATTCTGAGTTTTATATATCTTAAATAAATTTCCCATTTTACAGCCCTAGAGTACATTTGGAACCTGCTAAACGCGTACATCATTAAATTGTTCATATGCAGGGTATGAACTTTTTCGGCCCTTTAATTTCATCAGCGAGATCCTTTAATCAGATTGTGTTAAAGAGAAAGGTGCGAAAAATTAGCCCAAAATAGATGTTAGTCTGTCTTATACTCATTTTTCGTAAGAAAAGCGGAAGTTTGGTCACTCTATCGTTATTCTATTCCTCTGCAGAATTGCTGAAAGAAAACTGACCACGTTTAACGATAGCCGCATCCGTTAGCATAATGATAACCCTATGCCTAAGCTCAAAGTCGAAGTCTACTTTGAAATCGACAGGTCACCGTATATGTAGATTACGTAGTAAGGCCAGTGTTCTCCTGACTGTCGGCCATCGGGATCATAACATGCCATCTCTTCTGATAATAATATTGTTCCGCTGGAATAGAACGTACGCTATCTAAATAGATATTCAGTTTCTTGGTCAGTGAGTTGGCAATAAACTTTTAACGAATGCTGTTTTTCGCCGTTTCCCGGTATGATAACGGCGCTTTTAAGTCATCCTTTACCTTGGACACTATTGGCGTAAATATGAATATACCGGTGAGGTGCAGGAAAGTAAGTTTTCCAAAAATAGAAAAGTTTACCTTTTCTTGAATTGTAGGAGTACTTTTCATGTGTAAGCTAAAAGTTGAATAGTGGAGGTATACCACGTCTTCTGAATTAAGGAAGTCCAGGTAATTTATCACGCGTAAGAATAAACCACCTGTTTCTGAATCAAAGCGATTAACCTTTTAAAATAAACCGCGGTAGCGGGTTGTTTTGCACGGTTGAATAATTCAACAACAACCTAAACAAATCAGTTGTGCCATATATACGTGTTGAAAAAAGAGCTGAGACGATTCAGCAACTATTACGTTAATGTATAAGCTTTAAGGCTTTGGTTGGATTCCGATAAAGTATCTTACAGTAATGTAGTTTGTAACTTAGCCCAGTTGGCTGTCCTAACGCAGATGACAAGCTCTACGCTTCTTATACTTCTATTATTTTTTATTTTTGAGATTATTTATACTAACTAAGGAAATTCAGGTACTCGTCAAACATGCTCTGCAGATCTATTCATTAAAAGAAATAGCTCTCACCTTACATATTTTGCGATTAATACATCGCCCGTCGCTAAAGGTTAAGTGAACGCATTTAATATGGTACGAATATGTAAAGAATTTCTTTATAAACCAAGAGACAAAGAAGCATCTACCGGTTAAGAATCGTACTACATGTTCTCGGAAGGCATTTTTTTAAATCATTTTTGGTTACACAAAATGTATAAAGTGCTCATACCCATGCGCTTTGTTATGTGCAGCTTTTTTCGTCGACTGAATTATATTTTTTGCTAAAGGACTGCGTGTAAGGCACCAAAAGGAAGCACCACCTAATGCCGTTAACTGTCCAATTATTTGGTTACAATCTTGTTGTTTTGGTTTGATTGTACTTTTTGTCTTATCGCTATTACATCATAGACACATGTCGAATTACAAAGCTTCAAACTTTTTAAAATTTCGCGTTTCAAACTTCTACTGAAGTGTATTAGATGGCTGACCCCCTATACAAATCTAATGTCTTGTCAAAAGAGCTTCGGGCCGGTTGCGCTATAACACTAGCTAAGCTAACGACCTTATGAGTGGTGTACCGCTTTTGTCAAAGAAATTCTGGTACTCTTATGATAGGCGAACTTCTAAAAATGTTTGGTAATCTAAACTGGCTAATATTTTAGGACGTTCAACCAACGTTTAAACCACTGTCAACGCGTTCAGATTATAACGAGAACTGATAACCAGAAGGATTGACCGCGATATTTTAGGCACTTTCTCTATGCATACCGGATGTAAAATAGTAGAAGTCAGTGTGCGGTGACAGTCCCTGCCAGTCGGTATATTATTCATCTAAAGCTTCCCTTAAGATCCAATATTCGATAAAATCACACACATCTTCATTCTGTGAGTAAAAGGAATGATTTTTATTTACTCTGCTCTGAACGTAGAGTCTTGACATAACTGGATTGAAGGTTAAATTGGTGGCCGAAATGGCTCGTCCTTTACAATCTATACGTCTCATTCACAGTTATTTATAAGTTTCCAAAAGGATTGCAAATTTCTCTCCACTTTTTTGATAATGCATTGCAAGCTGTTTTACCAACCTCTTGTCGATAAATATTATTATTATAAAATAATGCTTCTAGTATGCACAGAATTTCAGAATTGGCGAATTCGATCGTCGTGCGATTCGAGCACAGTTAAGGTATTGATAAAATTCAAGAGCTAGTCTTTAAAAATATTTTAGTCTTGCGATGGCGCAGTGGTAACGTACTTGCCTACATTGAGACACTTGAGATGATCTGGATTTGCAACCAGACATAGGCACACTCTATTTCGTGATTTGAACCAACCTTATAAAGCAACGATTAACAGTAATGCCGGACGTAAAACTTGAAACGTTCATTTATATTGTAAATATTTCAAAAACTATGACTAGAATGGTGTAAAGATATTATATCAACTATTTTATACTCGCTACGCTCTTTCGCAACCTTTCGAGCGTTCTAAAAAAGCTGTTTTTTTTAATATATGCGGAATATAAAATGCAGGAAATGTATCTGTATTGTTAAAAATAACAGCGACATTCTCCTAAAGGCCCATTTATGCTATCTTCCTATTTAACAGTAAGTATCAAGCGCACGCGGTACTGCTTTTCCTTTGCCTACTTTAAAATTTTAAAGAAGACAACGTTCATTTGTACCAAAGAGGTAGGCACTAGTAAAAGGCAAACATTTGGTACTACTAACAAGTTAATCACTAACAAACCCTTAATGACGGTTCTAGGTACTTCAGTCGAATTATTGCTTCAGTCACTTTTGACGAGCAGCTAAGCTGGCAGCGGTAGATGCTGGCATCTAATGTCGTCAGAGGTCCAGAGACTTTTCAAAAACTTTTTAGGATTATACGTTTCCATTAGTGCTCATGGGCTACTAGATATGTAAATTTGAATATTTGTTAGTTATAACCTCGTCGGCAGTTTAGGTAGATCGTGTGAAACGCTGGTTTAATTATCCGCTTTTTGTTAAATTGATAAAGTCAATATATTTTGACAACTATCAGAGCTAAAGATGTTTGTGTTTACATAGTAATACCAAACAACCCCGTGGTTTTAAAAAAATCGGTATGCTTGGGCCTCACCAGAATTATTCAACTCAAATACATTTCTAAAATAAAAAAACAGGGGACTTACATTGGATCTACAATGTTTTCGTTGTTATTTTATCATGAATAAGTATTATTTTTAGTATACTCTCATAGCTGACGAAAACGTATTTCTCCATGTGAGATTTAGACGAAACACCTGAAATGCACTTAGGTTTGGTCTGTGCGTACAACCTATCAGATTTGAACTTCTCTGCTGCCTATGCGTGAAAGTATAATTTATCTTGTTTTAATGCATATATGATATCAAAATAGTAAGGCAAGTAAGTGGTGGGACAATGAATTAGTATTTATGCATTAACAATTGTTTAAGTCGGCAACCTCATAGACAAATAAAGTACGTGGTACGTAGCAAAAATATGATATTAATAGAAAATGCTGTAAATGGTCAACTTTTCTTTAGGTGCAGGCGATATTTCAAAAAATGGAGTGGCTGTAAGATCCGAGCTAAAACCTGTTGGATCTTACTCTGGAGACACTTCAGGAACCCCCTCATCACCCTCTGATGACCAGCGACCAAAAAGACTTCGAGTTGCTCCTGACCTTTTGGGAAAAACTTCATTGCTTGGACTTATCAAGGTAAATAAAAGATACAGTAAACCACGCAGGTCTATTATATACTTATCAGTGAGATTATCCTTTAATTTTTCATTCACATGCTTGTGTATCGTCCTTTCATATAATTTTCAGCTATTTGTCATTCGTTGACTTATAAACCCACAAAACTTGAAATGCTAGCTTGGTACTTTGCCTTCGAACAAGTTATATTGTTGATATTTATTTCAACATATAACAAATGGGCGATAGCGTAGTCATTTCGTGGGTGGTTTCATTGAAGTGAATCATATTCTTGAGAAACGATGAGGCCAAACTAGGCGTATATAACCGAAGAAGGTTTTCCTTTTCTTTTCTGTGTTTGCGTAATACAGGAGAATCAAAGTCGCAAACCAGCGACAAGTATGTGGCTTGGCCTCAACCCGGAGACCAGAAAGGCTACGCTTTACCAAAATCTTAAAGAAAAACAATTGCAACAACAACAACAGGCCATTAAAGAAGAACAGCAGATACAACAAATCCAACAGCAGCAGCAAGCGGCAGCTTCTGTTGCCGCCGTTATCCAACAACAGCAGCAGCAGGTGCAATAATGAAAAAAAAGATGATAATGAATTTTGAGAAGCTGAATCTTACCTTGAAACACGTACTTTACCGATTGCTATTTCCTTATCCTAGGCTTTCACATGTTTACGAGTTACTTGTATGGTCATTCTGGCCCTATATCGAATAGTTAATTTATGTCCACTGCCGAGTCATACAGATGCATTTGAGTTAAAAGAACTGCTATCTGAAAATTAGCGTTGATTGGCAATCGCTTTTGAGCTGACCAAAGGTTTCCGACCTACTTTGATAACGGTGCCTCTTCTGTCCACGATGAGGCACGATTCAACAGTCGGCCATAATCTGTAATTTTCTTTCCATATATATATATATAATTTGTGGAAAATCGATAGAAGAAACAGAGGAGTAGGGAGATAATAGACAAATGTATACAAAATAAATAAAAACACACTCAACAAACTTTGCCACCTTTTTGTCATTGCTTTATTTGAACAGCTTGAACATTTATTTGACAGTACCTTCTTTCTCAGTCTCACACGTAAACTGCGTACCCAACAGATACATCAGTCTACCGTTTGATCAGTCGCGAGAGGCATATACTTACTACGTTGAGTGAGATGATTATAATGGAAGACTCCGAACGATGCGCATTAGCGCAGTAGTATTTTACACAGAAACCCCTATATATTTATGCTTTAGAACAAACACGTCCATTATTGTTTATCCACATCCACTCTTCTGTCTATATATAGTTATTATATAAAGGCTTTGTCAAAAACTCGAATTCATCTGTCAACTATAAATGGATATCAGTCACCCTTATCATATTATATTAAGTAATCTTTGAAAGGCGATCTCTTTGTGGCAATTGCACCATTATGAAAAAGTGTACTCAGGAATATATAGCACGATGAGGTAGCATTGTACGCCTGCAAGTTGTTCACTTATAGCAAGAAGCACTTAAGTATTTTCTATTCCTTTTATATATTTATGTAGTTTTATGTTATACTTAAATAGGCTGTGTATAATATTTTTGACTGTCATCAAAAGTAACTGGTCGCTCCAAACACATAAAGACTTATACATGTGGATGTTTATACATCAAAACCAGGATCTTGACGACGCAACGCGTTAGTCTATCATTGTACATGCACTGGCTATATGTAGCAGTTTGACCATCTATTGTCTTCTTCGTCTCTACTAATTCCAAAGGAGACAAAGATTGCTTTTTCTTGAAAATCAAAGCCATACTTTGTTGTGTCCTTTGAATAATCGTAATATGAACCTATATTACGTAAACCTAAGCATATAAAGGGTACCATTCAATTACGTTATCGCTTCTTCAGTACAGGCACACCACATGTGCAGTACTCTCACACAATAGTCATTAATTAATATTATTGTCATCTTGTTTTACTGTTAGTCTTTTCTGTTGACTCTTGAATACGTGAACAAGTACGCACGTCCTTGCGATTATCCTGTGTTAGTGACTGCTACTGTTGCAATTTCCATCTGAATTTGATCCTGTAATTGAATTTAGTCTATTTTTTTCGACTTCTTCTTGTTTGTCTTGTTGTCCGGCTTATCTTTAATGTCACCTCTATCTATTTTCGTTGTTCCCTGGCTAGGCTCTTCTTCCTCTAGGTCACTACCTTCACGTTCCGTAACTTCAGGCGCCTGCTGGTATTCCTGCGGTCGGCCAGGAAACACGTAATCGAGACAGGCGACAATCATAAGACCCAGAACGGCTCCGATTATCACTGTAGCAAGCGCGAACAAGCAATAGCTAGCCCAATATGGAATACCTTGGTCGACAAGGTATGTGTGGATGGCCCGAATATGGTACGACCATTCGAAGAATTTAGCCACTATAGTCATCTGTAATGAACTTGGGTGCTTCCACTTTGAAATTGGTTTGATATGCTCCCATTTTTTTTGCTCAATGAAGGATATCAGTGAATCGAGGTCTCTGGCTCCTCGATACTGACGAAATACTCCGTCGCTGACGTGATAGATTGTCGGCAGTGCAGTGACCATAAAGCGACCCGAGAGACCCGGGTTTTTTGTTATGTCCACCTTAGCGACTGTGAACCCCTTGTTCTCACTAAAGTCACTGAATTCCTGCCAAGCTTCGTGCATTCTTCTACAGGCTGGGCACCATGGAGCAACACTGTAACATCGCAGGTAAAAGACAGTAGTGGCATATTAGTCGTTTGCGTACTGTACGTACTTAGTCCATAGACTTATGCAAAAAAGCCTTGTTGGATAATGTTAAATCGAAGAGAGATATACCAACCGAAAAAAAATACCTTAACATAATAAAAATTAATTTTGTGCTTTTTGAACGCTTTAATGATCACCTTGTTAGCTCGCCAATTACAGCATAGCAATAAATGAAAAAAATCAGCCTAGCAGGTATGACGACATTCTGGTCGAAGCCGGTTCTATATCGAACTTATTGAATGGCTGGTTCCATCAATTACAAGAAAATACAAACCATGTGATTTCAACGAAATTCATCCCATCAATATTCACTCACTATCGAAGTGAAAAGTGATATACAAACATCGTTTTTAGTTAATAGCGATGCTTGGTTAGAATATCAAATAGTCTTCAAAAGTCAATAAGCTTTTTAAGGGTTCTTACTAACGAACATTATTTAATATAGACACATTAATAATCAACTCAACAGTATTTGCAATAAAAGTCAGTACATACAGTAATATTTTTAATGGAATTATATTTTGGAGCGCATGAGAGAAATGAAACATCAAGCAGTCAAATTTTCCATCACCAGGCTAACTCTGCATGAACACTAAGCCACATTGACGTGTATTGGCGTGACGTAAAAGTAGCATCCTACAGCAATGCGTGATTCAGTGAAGTCAAACATAACATGTGTTTATTCTTCAGCGATACATCCTCGACTCCAGGTGATGTTAAGATTAATGATTCAGGTTGATCTTGTCTCTTTCATACAAGACAATCACAGTTTTGTTTTATTTGAATTTGCTTATAAAATGGCATTTTTATTTTATGCACCCATTTAAAGGTGCATAATATACAGAAGGGGCCAGAAGTCACCGATCAGTTTAAAAAGTCTCTTGACCGTTAGGAGCCTTTACTTCACATCTGATAAAATGGAAAGAGGTGCTCAATTTATTACAGTGGAAAACGGATTTAACTGTACATTCTAATGTTCATTTTATACTCATATAATACAATGTCATAAGCATATTACGGGGCGTTCGAACATTAGTCAGTAAAACCATATGATTTACCATACTAATCATTGTCGTATCTCCTGCATTTCAATCATATAATAACGCTATGGCATAATGTTAGAAAATTGTCCCAGTTCCAAATATGCTGCACAGTTAAGCACCCTCGCTATTGCAATAATTTATGTATTTCCTGCTAATTCAACTAACATGGAATGAAAACTCTTGAAATTGGGAACTATTGAGAAACTTTCCTTTCAGAATGTAGGGCCACTTCTGACTTTAAATATACAGAATTCTACTACATTTTTAATCCTACTGCGCATTTACTATTTCCGCCCCAACGTCTTAAAATATAATATAATGAAAAACCCGTTAAATAACCTGTTGATAAAGCAAGAAAAGGAAATATTACCCGAGCATGGGAAAACAACCGAAATGCTCCGAGGACAGCAAAAGCCGACTTCGCTTACAGTCAAAGAATTTTTTTTTAATTTAATTTTTTGAAGACATTCGAGAATGCTGACTATATAAGGCAGATGTTTCAAGAGTTAAAAAAACGCTATTTTTTTCTTTGACAGTAAAATTGGATTATTTACTACAAACACAGTTTTACCTTCCTACTCGATTTACACTACATGGTACTGCTCATACCCAATTTGTTTATCGTTAAGACTTTATATATAACACATATATATCTTTTGAATATACATATGTGCACATTTCAAAATGAATTTATGGCTTAATTGAGAAACATTTCTTTGAAAAGTATGTATTTAAGACCAATATATTGAAAGCATGGGTGCGGTTTAATTTTATTACCATTAACCTAACACAGCGTTGGGCAAATATGGCTTTAAAGAATGGGTGACAGATGAACTGATGCGTGGTGAAAAATTATGCTCTTTTAAATACTAATAGAAAGCCTGAACAATTTTCCTCGTTTACCTAATTATCGGGTGGCACTAACCTAGTTTGAAAGAACTAGGTCAGGACAGCGTGGTCTGGTTGGCTAACGCGCATCTGTGCGTTGCCATGGTATTCATGAATATTTGGCTGTCGTTGGCTCAATTTCAGCGTTAGTAAATGGTCACTATAGCGTCTGGTCATCATGTCGTTTAATAGCTCTGTTGGAATAACCCTAAATAAATTCAACAACCCGCCTTGGCTAGACCTTCCGTGGGGGCAAATTTTTATACCCTTTCGGTACATTCCGAGGAGTTTTTTAAAAAGTAAAAACAGCTAAAAACATTGAAAAATAAAAAAAAATCTTTCTATTTAGCAAGAGAGGATGACACATCAGAATAAATATCATGTATCTTTCTAACACCATCAGCAACCGCACTCCAGCTAGTCTTAAGATTGCCTAATTAATTTTAGGTGTTTTAAAAAATCAGCGTTATTTCGGAACTGCTACGCTATACAATACAGCCCGGCTGACTAGCAAATGGCCAAAATACGCTTTTCCAACAATCCATTCTGTAACTTACATGGATGACTTATAGTGAACTGCAACACTTGTCTACGCAATTACTTCCAAGACGCAAGAAGTTTCGAACTCACACTGGCGACCGCTAGCAATAGCAGTTGACATTACCATGATCTACACAGCCACTCCCGGTAAGCGCGCAGCCTCCCGTACAAGAGAAAACAAGCGGTCAAATAAGGTAATGGCGAGGGGTATTGGCAGACTCTATCGCACAACCGCCTTTTCAGCCAAGTAAAGGACCAAGGAGATCTTTTATTGCCAAACGTCAGACAAAAACTAAAATTCCCAATTTTTATTGTAGTACTGGAAATCCCCTTTTACGCCTTTTTTACGCATTCCGTAACTCAACCTGGCTCCGTAGACCTAGCAGCATCAAAAATTTCACTTACCTGATCTTTCTCCTCAAGGATCTCCAAAAAACAAATTAAATACAAATACGAGCTATAAGAGGCACAGGTGGTCAGATCCAGAAACTTGTAAACTATCAACTACAGTAAATTATTCAGTTCTAACCGATAAAATTAAAAACAACAATTAGAAAAAACAAAAAATATAAACAACATTTTTAGAGATTTCTTTATTTATAACCCACATTTTATTTTTACACGAAATATCGCAATTTCACAACAGGTTCTCATTCAAAACAAGTATCTCAGAAAAATGCCGTACTAGTTACACGGTGTATAGTGATTAAGTAATGCCGTATAATGTCACAATTTTTAAATCTTTACCAATTATTTAATACTATTTACGATTAAAGCGGGAATAATTAGCGGAAAAGCTTCGGGTAAGAGCATATAGAAACGCTGCTATATATGTCATTGTTTCACATTGTTCAATGGGTGTCATTCACGGTATCTCTATTTAAATAAGAGGCGACGCCTTTGCGCCACTGCCATAAAGTCAAAACAACATATAATGCAATTGTTTCTGATATTTTTGCATAGTATTATCTGTAAATCTTTTTGAACGAATCTTGTCTAAAGAAACATGATAAGATACTATTATATTTCTGGTGTCCGTGGCTAGTTTCATGTTTGTATGGCGCACATTTTTATACTAATATGGATTGATATAATTAGAATTCTATTGAAACCAAATGTTTAACTTTTAGCATTCTCTACATACATAAAAACACTAATACTAAAGAATATAGAAATAATTGTTTCAAATGTGAGTGCTTTGTTTCATATTTTTTTTAATTGCATAATGTACATTTGCTTTCGGGCTTCTTAGCACAACAGTGAACTTTATATGCTGTAAATTATAGTTGCATTCTTTTATAACCAAATGTTGCTTCTTAAAAAAATTCATTTAGGATGCAGTTCATGGCTGTGGGACGTGGTTGAATTTTGCCGAGTTTAATATTATATATTGCTAAGATCGCTATAACTTTATTCACCCTATTCCTAGATTTGGCCTCCGTATACTTCAGGTTTCCTTCCGTGAAATTCACAAGCTGTTTCAGGAAAATTTACTTGTAACAGAACAACATCACTCAGTTGTGTTACATTTCTGAAGTATAAGCCGTATAAACTATGCTAATTATATGGCTGTTCGCGAATACAGATAACTCACACCTCTATTTTTCGAGTTCTGCATTGCCCAAGAAGCTAATTACTTACACCTAACGAAATTAAATTACCTAAAATAGGTGAGAAATATGGCCAAACGAATATGTTTTAATAAATGCGTACTACTATATGACATTAAGGCTACACGTTACGCTGGCATTATGTTCGATAAAAGTAAACAAAAGAACTAAATTACTTATTGTCTAAATAACTGTACGGCGATGTACTTATTAAAGAAGTGTAATCATTACGATAAACAATTATTGTAATAATAGCATGATTAATTTATTATCGTTGCACTATCAGGTCAAACAAGGCAATATGTTTTTGTTATTGGTTATGCTGGGTCATGTGTTAACTTGAACACAGCTGCAGCACGACTCAACGATTCCACACATAGCTACATCATAATATAAAATCAAAAAAGCTGCAGGTGTTGTTTATAAATTATAATACTTACAAAGCGACCATCCATTCATCGGCCAGAAGCCATTTCCAATTTTCTTCGGCCACATCAACTGCTTTTTTCATTGCAAGAACTGAAGTGGCAGTCAGTACTAGCAGTAGTAGAGGAAGGCAGACACTGATGTTATAATACATCGGAAAAGACCGGGGTACCCTCGAGATAATTTGCAAATTCATCTTGAAGTTTTGCTACGGAAATGTTCCCTCTGATGGACAATACCACAATGGCACTTAATGGAACTATCCTATTCCACCGAATAGGTACATCCACATACGTTCACGAACACACCCAGAATATTGAACTATAGCGCTTTAATTCACAAATATCACACCATGTAGTTGAACTTTCTTTCATCAGTTCTGTGTCTTGAAGACAATCACTAACAGAAATAATCTAATCTGAACGCTTACTTTACTGTATAACATATGTATAACGTGTAGAATGCATCAAATAGAGTTGTCTTATTTGTACACACTATAGTACTCGTCCCGAAAAGAGTTTTCGGTGGACTCAATCACCCAGTCTGGAGTCACAGTGGTGTCAATTTGTTTCGTCAAGCACAACAAGCGGGCGACCAAAACATGGATACTCTACTACGTTGTCGACAAACTGTGCAAACGCCAACTGCCATAACAACAACCAACCAACTACCACCAACTAACGTTTAGTGTAGCGGTGCTGCTAGCTATAGCAGCAGCAAGGACAGTGACAATAACAACAACTCCAACAAAGGCTACACCAACCCGGGCTATGCCAACGACGGCCGCTGCTGCTTCAGCCACATTAGAACATAAATATCAAGGATAACAACGACTGCGGCGCTATGTAACGACGCCTGTGAAGAACCAGAAACCCTTGGCGCTGCCGACAGTAGCGATCCTAATCAGATGAAGAGGAGCTAACCAAATGCTTCTGTCTTAGTTTTGTTTTTGTGATGAAATTGTCGTCTGCTTTTACGGCAATTGCATTCAAGATACTGCCCGTTCCCAGCAACGCTGACGCCCATTATAGACTCTAGTCTGGTAATAGCCGTATATTTATTCTTGCAGTCGGCTAACGTGAAGCAAGAAACTAGATCGCTACCGTTTCGGCTTAAGTTACAGATTAAAGCGATGACTGTAAGTTAAGATCATAGGTGTAACTAATTCTTCTTCGACAAATAGTTCGGTAACTCAAAACTGATTATTTTTCAGGAAAAAAGTTATCTGAGTTGACTACGTTTAAGTAGATTAGTGCTCAACCGTCCCCAAATTATTTTTGGCATTGCAGGCACTAGAACCGGGACTTCGGCAGGTATTACTCCGCCAGCACTGTTGACCTAAGATTTTGTTTATATTGTGCAGAAGCATTTATTTCGTTCTTACCTCTTAATTTTTGTCTAATTTATAATTTTAATTTTCAGCTCGACGACATGAAAGCTTGTAACAAGATTGTCAGTGAAAGCAGACAAAGTAACGATCAGGGCTGGACAATAGCTTTTCTATCTTAAACATTCAATCCATTAATTATAGAGTGTTTGTTTGGAATTCTACAAAGTCGTCTGCATTTCTTACGAAGTTTCGCTCTGTAGCTGATGACTAGATGAGTGCGATTTAGATAAAGCAAGATCCTGTTCTTAGACATTGCGGCACACAGCTATCCATATCTCCGTCTGTTGTCTCGAGCTACAAGCTGTGGTGGCCGCTGCGACGGAGTCGGTGATAGCAGTGGTCGGATAAGCACTCATTTATTGGCAGTTTCTGCTTGCTTATTGTTTTCGTCGTCTTGGTTGTCGTGAGCGCATCATCAGCATCGGCGGTAGCAGTAGCAGCAATCGCGGTGTCGTATTAGCTCTGTTTGCGGTCTAACCGCTTAGTCTGTGTGCTCGCACTGGTAACCGGCAACGGTTCTCTACATAACACTGCTCTTTTACAACAAGAGGAGAGAGGGAGACTCCTACATGTGGCAATTCGTTGGCGAGCTCGTTATGGGTTACAGCATCGAGGAGTGAATATCGGCAGCTGTTGTTGATGCAGCTTCAATAAAACGGCCAAGAAGCCGTACCAGCAGCCGAGCCCACAGGAGTAGCGGAGCAGTAGTGAGTGTGGGCTGTAGAGGATAGGCTGTGTAAGCAACAGCAGCGGCGGCGGTGGCAGCGAGGGTCCAGACCAGTTTGCTTGGTCGTCTGTCGTCTGTTTGACCGGTTGATCTGCTGTAGGAGTGGAGCGGACACCTCTCTTCTTTGCTTGGTTTATTTGACTGCTGCTGTTAATACGAGTACTAGTACTACCGCTACAACAACTGCTACAATGACTTAGAAAGCTCGAAGTAGCTGTAATTGTGGGTAGATAGTGGATATCTATCTGCTGTGTTGTCGCAGTGTTTGTCTGCTGCTTCTGCTCATTGCGAGAGACAGTGGCAAGAAATAGTAGTCAACTTGTAGTGGTAATGATGGCGGTAATAGTTGCTGTAGTCTGCAGATGACGACGATGTGACTGTTATCGTGCCGTTGTTTGTCGTCGCCGTCGTCGTCATTATTATCCTTGTGAAAAAGTGCTTCGTGAAGTACTATATCATGCTTCTAGTGCCACTGTATTGGTTACGATTAAGTGTAGCATCTACTTAGTAGACTTGTAATATTAATGAAGACTTTGAATGTGATGGTAGTGATTGACAATGGTGGCCAACAAATCGATAATTGTCGTGCCAGGAGTGAATGTCACCAGTCGCAACTGGAGAATAAATATGTTGGGCATCTGTACTGTACGCTAGTTGTACCCATAACCAAAAGAAAATGAGCGAAACGTACACAGACACACTCTACACGGCTACAGTAACGCCAATCATACCAATAATAATTGCAATGTAAATTTGGTGTTTTGTGTAAAATTCATCTGCAGTTTGTGTTTGGTGATGACCCACTGCGACACAATAACAGCTCGTATTTGCGTGAATATATAATATTAATAATAGTACCAAAACAAACACTGAACACTCTGATTTGGACAAAAGCATCTTCGGTACCAAAGTATGAACGAGATTTCATCGTACAAACACAACAAGGCCGGTATGTAGTGAATGTTGCGAAACGTTTGTTTTTTACACTTGTGTTACTGTAGTCTGGCTGGACGTTACAAAAATAGTGCATAAACTAATTTTTTTTATAATTGATTACTTTGTGTCACCAAAAGAGATTAAATAAAATAAATTAAAAAAAAGATTAAGGCTAAAGTAGTTAGCTTCATTTTATCATCCAGGACAACGTAGGGTCTACGAAGGTTATGACACAGGTAAGTGACACTGAACAAGCTTTGCGAAGAGTGGATATTTTTTGTTAATCATTCGCGAGCACGCACGCTCACACCCACAAAAACGTATAAATGATCTTTATGCAAACATACGTGCGCAAGCTATACGTGTGTGTGTGGTTCGGGTTAACTATTTTACAAGTAGGAGCTAATTGATACAGAGGTTAATATCCTCTTCCGCTCAATTCTCCTTTAGCACCCGATAATCTAATGCCGAGCTAGAATAACGTCTCAGATAAATTGCTCAATTATATATAGCTATGCATATCTGCATAAGATTAACAATATCTTCAATGTCTGATGGGCTTAGTGGCTGTACGCATCGGTGATTTTCTGATCATAGGCAATAACTACAAATGGCAAAAAAGAATTAATTAATTAGATGGACTCAAAAAAGTTGAATCTACTCCAGAAATTGAAATCGAGCAACATGCTACTAACTGGGTGATATATACACTCTTCCAGTTGTTTTTTTAGTCGTTTACTAGTATTCGTGCTCGCGGCAGTAGTAGATGATTGTGTATTTTAGCTTCTGTGACGGCATTCCTTGCGCTGCAGTAGTGTTCCGTCGGGGTTAGAAGCAGCGGCCGTGCAGCCGGTTCGTTTAAAGACTGCTTCCGTTAACTCTTCAATAGTCCAATGGTGGCGGCAGCAGCAGCAGCAGCAGTACGGAGAGCGGTGGCAGGAATGACGGCATGAGTGTATAGAGACCGACCGAGTGGCCAACAGGCAAACCGGTAGACTCGCGAGGCGACAACAGTCGCAGTGGCGGTGCGGGGTGGATGAACCTGGGCCATTACTGTCGTTGCTAGCGATGATGCTACCATCGCGACCGCTGCTGTTGCTTCTGCCGCCGCCGTCGATTCCACCGGCTGAGTAGTTTTCGCCGGTCTCGTTTTATTTTGCTGCTAGCACCAGTGGTAACAGCAACGCTACGGTCGCACAAGCCGTTCAGCGGCAAAGAACAGTCAGTGTTGTCTGTCCGTCTATTGCCAATCTTTAGCGATAGCAACAGGGGGAGCTTCCTTTGTAAACGTTGCCTATAGCGACGACTGTAGCGAATGCACCAGCCGCAGCTGCGACAGTAGTAACAGCGTTACCGCCGTCGGCGCTCCCTGTTTCCGACCCACGGCGCACTAGCAGTGCCTGTTTCACCGATGGCACCCGACTGAAACTGCGAGCAACAGCACCGGCAGCGCCAGCACCAGCCATCGCGGCATCAGCGCTGACCGTAAACTGTTGCCCGTTCTTCTCGTGACGCGTTCGCCGGTCGCTGGCCACAGCTCCTAGTCGCTGAGCTCAGTGCTTCCACCGCTGCTGCTGCTGCTAGGCACCACTGTACTAGTAGCATTACTACCACGACTATCGTTGGAAAAGGCAATGTCGCCATTGACAAATGCAGCGTCGACGGTAGACGCTGACGTTGGTGTCGATGAGCTACGATGATGGCGATGATGACGTTGACAACAGTCTTGTCTGCCGGCAAATAAGCAGTGGGAAAAAAGGGTAGCATAAGCGATTCGAATTTAACGTTCATATGACTACGCTTACTAGTATGTAAAACAATGCGACAAGAAAGGAAGAAGAGCTTTGATCCTCTCATTTATTACGAAAGGCGTCAGTGGTGTGGTATTGCTTAACACAATACAACCTAGACAGAATTGAACGCAGAGGACTTGTCCGAACGACCTTCTTTGTTTTAAAACAGTTACGTTCTACTTACATACTAAATATGATGGTTCTAAGGTCACCGATTTCCACCCATGCTACCGTATCGAACGCTTTCTCTGCATATAGTTTATAACCATCAACTGCAATGTATACTCCGTATTTTATGTAGTTATATCATTGCGCAAGCATTTATTGTCCTTACCATTACTTGTTAGTGTCAAGACATTCATACTACTGAGGACTGACCTCGTACGTATACGTCTAAATGCAAAAGGAACGATATGCATTCTAGTCACTAGCAGTGGTTGTTTCTGAAAGCGAAAGGAGGATATATGAAAGTGCGATAAGTATGAATAACAAAAATTAAAGATAAGATTATATCTTACGGATTTATTAGTGTGTAATACAAATAGTAGGTTTCGGATGGTGCATTTGCGTCAGTGTGTCGGAATATTCTCATCATTAATTTTTTGGTGAACGATGACTTGCGTGCATCTTATTGATAATTTTGTTCGTTATCATAATTCATATTTAATATAGCACAATAGTGTACTACAGGTTGTTTAGAGTCCCAGTGTCGTAAATATATCCTGTTTTACTTTATGAATTGAAAAACGCGTCTGTTGATCTTAAAGTAACATTTACTATTGTCCAATAGGCAGGTTATTAGGTTGTTGCTATATAAAGTTTTCATGATAGCTCAGTGGCTTGCCTGCTAATATTAGGAACGATGTGCTTTAGGTTCGAATCTATCTGATGGAATGTCTAAAGACCATGATAAACGTAAAACTCGAAGCATAGAGTGTGATGTATACAAGAGTTTTCTTAGGTTCAATTAAGCAGTTTTAAAATACATGAAGGTACTTTACAACAAACGGCATGTTGTATCATAATCACATCCGATTCGTATTGTCAAAAAATTTGTAAATTCTTCTTTGGCTAATTTTAGATACAGATACCTCGATACCGATTTACATACTAAAGAGGATACAATGTATGTATTCCCGTAGTCTGGTGGTAAGGCGTAAGTCTACCAGATTTAAGAGCATGTGAAATGGCTTTGCGTCGAAACCGAGCGTAGATATACTTTGTTTTGTGCTGAAAGCCAGCCGTCTGTAGCCGTGCTTCACGGCGATACCTGACGTAAGATTTAAATTATTGATAGTTTTAGCTGAAGTTTCTGTCGAGGCATTTTGGAATAAAGCTTTTGCCCACCAGGGTGTTTTTACAATAATCCAACGTGCAATTCCGAGTTATCTAGATACGCTTATTCTTCTTGTCGGTGGTATGAAAATCCCTAGGGCGACTAGTAGATATAACCATATGTGTAGTCGGACAGTTTTCAGTTCAGTCTAAATTCTTAACGCAATAAACTAAGGTGGGTTAGATTGTTATGGTAATCATATGCCGTTAGCTGCTTATAAAATATGAAAATTTTACATTATAGCGTTTAGGCAGAGCTTTCCCCATTGAATTTTTCCAACTATCGTAGAATTAAGAAAAGCCGTAAAAAAAATCTGCCTGTATATTCAATAATTTTGAACTTAACAATAAAGAATGGGAACACTTATGTTCTTTAGTGAAATCTCTATTATTTAGTTCGAATGATGAAGTTTTCTCTCTACGTATAAAGAGCGGTATTCTTGTGAAACAAAAGCAGCACGTTTAGAACAAGTGTAGAAGCCTCCAAAATTGCTATGTGGGTAAACTACTCTGTAGAAAATAAACAATTAAATAGCTGATTTTGTTAAATATTAGAAAAGGAGCCCTAAAACATCTGATTTTTGTCATACAAACACTGTCTATTCATCAGTAAGTTCAAAAGTGCCAATTCTAAATATGAAGTCGAAAGCTTACGTACAGTGACACAGAACTAAAGGAGGGTGGTGAGACATAAGCATAGTATAGGTGCCAGGATCCTTGGCAAAATCGAATGAAATACTTTACAAAGGGCGATAATTGATCCTAATGAATTGGTGTGAAGTTTTCATTTCGGGATTATGTTCTGGTTGACAGTTTCATTAGAGTCGAAAGAGGATATAAGTAACGCTGTTTCTTGCTATTTCATGGTAGACGTTGCAAGGTTATTATATATATTAATAATCTCAGGGGTATTTTCCGTTAAAAAAAGAGAAATGACTTAAAAAAGTTTTGCTTTTTTTCCTGTGGTTCATTGGCAGAATTCTATTATGAGCCCTATTTGATAGGTTAAGTTTAGTTTCTTCTCCCTCTCTAAGACTTAAGATCGTTGTTAGTTTGGATCGTTTCACCAAGTTAATTGTACTATCCGACGCCTATTGATGAAGCGATTAGGTTAGATAGAGGTGTAAAAATTTGGCGAACGTTTACTTATAATTTATGCTATTACGTAAATATATGTTGTAAAGTACCTTTTCTACGTATATATACGCAACCTTGAAGGCAATGTTTACGGTTCTTATATTTTATTATTATTTGGTCATTTTTTAACTGCAGGTTTACGTTTCACCGTACTGTTTTACCGCCTTCTCCTTTATACATACATATGTATATATACGAAATACGACACTTGAATATAGACAGATTTTGAAACTGTCGTAATTGATATGCTCATCCGTCACTTCTGATATCAAACGGAAATCACGCTTTTCAATAACAAAAAATTGTAATGACGAACAACAGTGTGTCATTTCTTATTTTTTACGGTGTTTCCATGCTGGATCGACCCCATTAAGATTAAAAATCTTTCTTTTTTTATGAAATCGATGATGATTAATTTTCATACAGCTGCTGAAAAATCCGAAAAAAAAACCTTTCTTGAGGCAATTAAAAAAGAATCCTCAAGATTTTAGGTTTAAAGGGTTCGAAGATTAACTAGAATGGCTGAAAAAGACATTTTTGATATCTTTAAACTTCTAGTACAGAAAATTAAGGATCGTTTTGGAGAGGGCAATATTAATTGTTATTTGGGTCGTTTAAATAAGCTACAGTGTTTAAAAATCTCCTTTGTTTGTATTTTTTTTGGGTCGTTTTTACATTATTGGGATTTTCGGCATGGTATAGCCTAAAATTTAACTTCATCGTAATTTCTTTGATGTAGCGCATTTAA